AAGAGGGCCTTGAGCCAAATGGTTGCAGGAGATCAATGGTGTAACAAACCAAACACAGGGGGGGCGGCAATTCCCCCCATGATGATTGAAAAAGTGATGATTCAATTAAAGGCGCGGGGGGTTGGGGGGGGCGGCAGCCCCCCCCATGATGATCGAAAAACTGTAAAACGGCAGCCAAAGAATCTAAAAAGCAGCTGTCGCATGATGATCGCAAAAGTGATGATTCAAGTAGGCGTGTATTTTAATCGAAAGGGGGGTGGCGGGGGGCACAGAGAGGAACTTGCGATGCTGAGGATGCAGGAAGCCAAGGCAAAATACCAACTGGGAAAGCAGAGGATGCGAAAAGCCAAAGCCGCCAACAAAAAGCCAGCGGAACTGGCAATGCAGAGGATGCGAAAGAGAGGAACTGTGAATGCAGAGGATGCGAAATGAAAAGCCACAAAAGCCACAAAAACCCACGTAAAAGCCACAAAAGCCAAAAAGCAACCCACCCTGAAAAACAAAAATAATCCCTAAAAAAAACGAAAAAGAATCCTAAAAAAATGGCCCTCCTTACATTACATTGCATTACATTACACTACATTACATTACACGCATACCTTACATACATACATACATACATACATACATACATACATACATACATACATACATACATACATACACTACATACATACACTACATACATACATACATACATACATACATACATACATACATACATACATACATACATACATACATACATACATACATACATACATACATACATACATACATACATACTTACATTACATTACATTACATTACATTACATTACATTACATTACATTACTTACTTACTTACTTACTTACTTACTTACTTACTTACTTACTTACTTACTTACTTACTTACTTACTTACTTACTTACTTACATACTCACATACATGCATACATGCATACATACATACATGCATACATACATACATACATGCATGCTTACAGACATACATACATACATACATACATGCATGCATGCATACATACATACATACATTACATACATACATACATACATACATACATACATACATACATCCATACATACATACATACATACATTACATACATACATACATACATACATTACATACATACATACATACATACATACATACATACATACATACATACATACATACATACATACATACATACATACATACATACATACATACATTAAATTACATTACATTACATTACGTTACGTTACATTACATTACATTACATACATTACATTAATGTTAGGTTGCGAGAAATACATGGGGAGTCAATACACAAAAAACATCACAAAAATATTCACACCCCTGAAAAGCAAAAGGGGGAGTTAATACACAAACGTTTTTGTGAGGGGCAAAAAATCCGGAAAAAATGTTCCCAAAAAACAGTTTGATAATTAATCCCTAGTTCAGTGCAACTCCTGTCTCTCTCTGCCCCGCCCGCCCCCCCCAACCTACCACCACCACCCTACCTTTCCACCTTTGGTGTCTTGCCTGTCAGATGCAAGAAACAAGGAGATGATGATTGAAGTCCCTGAAAAGGAAGTTTAACTGAGGTCCCCAACAGCCAAATTCTTTATGACAGCCCTTACTAAAAGTTGCACCCTGCCAAATTTTCAAGGGGGTAGTACAGGGAACACTCAGGAAGCCAATAATGAGATTTCTATTAAGCGAAGTTAATTGAGAAAAGTTTTTGAGGACTGGGGCCAGGGATGCATGCAAGGAAAAGGGCTTCCCTTTCCAAAGAACTACTGATTCTCCCCAGAAAAGGAAGTTTCCTTTCCAAAGAACTGAGTCTCCCAAGAAAAAGAAGTTTAACTGAGGCCCCAACAGCCAAATTCTTTATGACAGCCCTTGCTAAAAGTTGCACCCTGCCAAATCTTCAAGGGGGTTGTACAGGGAACACCCAGGAAGCCAATAATGAAATTTGTTTTAAGGGGAGTTAATTGAGAAAAGTTTTTAGGACTGGGGCCAGGGATGCCTGCAAGGAAAAGGGCTTCCCTTTCCAAAGAACTACTGAGTCTCCCCAGAAAAGGAAGTTTCCCTTCCAAAGAACTACTGAACCAAACCAGAATACTAAACCAATACTAAACCAATTCTAAGCAGTACTAAGCCAGTCAGCAAGAATACTAAACCAATACTAAACCAATTCTAAGCAATACTTACTGGAATACTACTTGGGGAAGACCCGGTCTGACCCTCATTTTGTTTTTAAGGTTTCCTCTATTGACCCCCCCCCCCCCATTTTGTTTGGAGGGGGAGGGGGGGCCCTTTTTTATTCACTCCCCAACATTACATACATACATACATACATACATACATACATACATACATACATACATACATACATACATACATACATACATACATACATACATACATACATACATACATACATTACTTACATTACTTACATTACATACATACATACATACATACATACATACATCACATACATACATACATACATACATACATACATACATACATACATACATACATACATACATACATACGTTACATACATACATAATACATACATACATACATACATACATACATACATACATACATACATACACACATACATACATACATACATACATACATACCACCCGTGTGTCTTTGCATCAAGTCTGTTTCTTTTGATACCTACATACATCATCGATCAACACGTTTTGCTCAGCCATACATTACATACATACATACATACATACATACATACATACATACATACATACATACATACATACATACATACATACATACATACATATATTACATACATACATATATTACATACATACATACATACATACATACATACATACATACATACATACATACATACATACATACATACATACATACATACATACATACATACATACATACATACATACATACATACATACATACATACATACATACATTACATACATACATACATACATTACATACATACATACATACATTACATTACATACATACATTACATTACATTACATTACATTACATACATACCATACATACATACATACATACAATACATACATTACATACATACATACATACATACATACATTACATACATACATACATACATACATACATACATACATACATACATACATACATACATACATACATACATACCATACATTACATTACATTACATTACATTACATTACATTACATTACATTACATTACATTACATTACATTACATTACATTACATTACATTACATTACATTACATTACATACATCACATTACATACATACATACATACATTACATACATTACATTACATTACATTACATTACATTACATTACATTACATTACATTACATTACATTACATTACATTACATTACATTACATACCATACATACATACATACATACATACATACATACATACATACATACATACATACATACATACATACATACATAAATACATACATACATACATACATACATAAATTACATACATACATACATACATAAATTACATACATACATACATACATACATACATACATACATACATACATACATACATACATACATACATACATACATACATACATACATACATACATACATACATACATACATACATACATACATACATACATACATACATTACATACATACCTTACATACATACATACATACATACATACATACATACATACATACATACATACATACAATACATTACATACATACATACATACATACATACATACATACATACATACATACATACATACATACATACATACATACATACATACATACATACATACATTACATACATACCATACATACATACATACATACATACATACATACATACATACATACATACATACATACATACATACATACATACATACATACATACATACATACATACATACATACATACATACATACATACATACATACATACATAAAATACATAAATACATACATACATACATACATACATACATACATACATACATACATACATACATACATACATACATACATACATACATACATACATACATACATACATACATACATACATACATACATACATACATACATACATACATACATTAATTACATACATACATACATTACATTACATTACATTACATTACATTACATTACATTACATTACATTACATTACATTACATTACATTACATTACATTACATTACATTACATTACATTACATTACATTACATTACATTACATTACATTACATTACATTACATTACATTACATACATACACACATTACAAACACATATTACAGATATTACATAGATTATATACTTCAGAGAGGAACTGCCGATGCTACCAAAGCCAAACATGTTACCAAAGGCCGCGAGAACCAACGAAAGGCTGCAAAAGCCAAAGAGCCAGGAACTGAGAAAGAAGAAGCCACCTGATGGAAGCCAAAAACACACCAAAAGCCGAAAAAGCCACCCGCCAACTTGGGACTGCAGAGGATGCGGCTGCCAAGCCAAGAAGCTGAAAAACCAAGAAGCCAAGCAAAGACAGATGTCCGCAGGATCGCAAACTGGGCCATGGGCCAAACCTACATAACAAACCAGATCAAGACTCTGGACAGACTCCATTCCGCATTTGATGTTCAAGACCTGTGTCAGACCCTGGCCAAAGCACAAGGTGTTCTTAACATGCTGCCGGAAATGCCCAAGCCCTTGCTCAAGTCCACACACAACGATTGAAACATCTTGTTCAAACACAGCCCTCAAATCTCCAATGAAGAAATTCCCATCCCAAGAACAACTCTTGAAGAGGCCCTGAGTGAGGTCTCCCTCCGCACCTTGGAATCGCACGGCCCCCCCTTCACCCGCGCCGTGCCCTCCCGGACTGCGACAGCCCCGGCAGCTCCTGTGAGGCGTACTGCAGCGCCTCGCCGTCCTGCGCCACCGCCGCCAGCGCCACGTCCTTGTCGCCCCGGAGCTCCTCGCCGCGCGGCTCCCGGGGTCCCAGGACCCAGCGGGGAGCGCCCGGGGGGGGTGGTTGGGAAGATTACACCAAATGTGGCCCGGAGAGGGGGGGGGGGGGGGCCGGCCCGGAGGAGCCGCGTGGAGCTCCGGGCAAAACCGGAAAAGCCGCAGAGCGCGCGGAATTCTCCGTCTGTTGGAGATGTAAAAGCAGGAGCCGAGAAGGGCATGGAAAAGGAACTGAAAAGCACACGGAAACAAACTTCAGAAAATCGAAAGGTTGCCGCTTCGAAATTCTTCACACTGACCGGGAATTGGGACATGAGCAGTTTGTCTGCCAGGGCTGGCCTTGGACAAGCAACGAAAAGGAATAGAAAGGAATGGAAACGAAAGGACGTGGAAAGAACATCTGGCGCAATTCATTTGGTTACGCATGGAAGTGCAAAACATTAAAATTTCGGCCCCCGCTGACCTTGGAAAGAAACCGCAAAACAATAACACCATACGTCTCCTTTTTTTGAGCCCTTGTTTTGGACCTCGGCTTTGAGTTCTCCAAATGAGACTCCCATACCTGGGCGAGCGATGGGCAAACCAGCTCTGCCAGCGAATGTCATTGCTTGATGGTTTGAGAAGGTCATCGAACACTTCAGTCGTTTTCATTCTGGACACTAAGTCTGCTGATTGTTTTGGAGTCTTTGAACAGGCCATAGTCTGCCGACCCCTCGAGGCGCACGGGAAGGGTCATCACCAAATACAGCTCCTTGTTTTTTGTTTTATACTAGTTTCTTCTTATATTCACGTGCTTTAGATTCTTGTTATCTTGTTCTTATACTAGAACATATCTTGCCTTGCTTATAGTTTTGTGTTGTTTTTCCAATATTGGCTATGATGATAGTTATCATCATCATCATCACCATAGTCACGATCATCATCTCATTTGCTACCATGACAGCTATCACCTTCATGATTTAACGCTAAGGATGGTGCGATGACAGTCATCATTATCATAATAATGGTCAGCATCACTGGTAAAGCTAAGGATGCTATGATGATAGTTGTCCTCGTCATGATGTTAATGCAAAAGATGCTATGATGATAGTTAACATCACCCATCACTGGTAATGCAAAGGATGCTATGCTAATAGTTCTCATCATCCTGGAAAGGGTGCATAACAATAGCTGCAATCGTCATGATGGTCATCATCATCTCATCACAACATCATGCTCATCATCTCTTTCTTTTCTTAAACTTCTTACTTAATATACTTTTCAGAACTGACGTTAAACATTGAGGGTAATGCTGAGGATGCTATGTTGGTAGTTGTCATTGTCATGATGGTCATGCTAAGGTGATAGTTATCATCATCATGATGGTCGTCCTCACTGGTAATGCTAAGGATGCTATGCTGATAGTTATCATCATCATAACGGCCATCATCACTGGGAAGGCTGAGGATGCCATGGCGCAAAGGATGTGATGATCATAGTTGTACCATCATCAGGGTGGTGGTGTGAAGGATGTTACGATGATAGTTGCCTGCGTCATGATGGTCATCATCATCTCATGACTAGCATCATGATTATCAGTCTTCCTCCCTCTCTGTCTCTTCATCACTGCTAATGCTTAGGGATGCTATGCTGATACGTATCATCAACATCATCCTCATCATCTCAACACTACCAGCACGATCATCATCTTTTCATTGTCTTATTTGTCCGGCGTTTGACGTTGATGGTGATGCTAGGGATGCTATCATAACAGATATCATCATTATGAATGTCATCATGATGGTAACGCAAAAGATGCTATGATGATAGCTAACATCATCCTGATGGTCATCATCACTGGTAGTGCTAAGGATGCTATGATGGTTGTCACCATCATGATGGTCATCATCATCTCACTGCTAGGATCATGATCATCATCTCTTCAACCGAAAAGTTCTATGATGACGGTTATAATCATCATGAATGCAATCATCACTCTATAGTTGTCATCAGCATGATGGTGCTGCGAAGGATGCTGATGATAGTTATCATCACTGGCAATGCTAAGGATGCTAGGATAATAGCGCATCACTATCATCATGATCATCATGTTTTTTCGAACATCCTCGGCATCATCTGCAACACCCTCAGCCTCACCAGGCAAATTTTTCGAACAGCTGGCAAGAGAAAATGAGCCACCCCAGCAGCGCGGCAACATCCTCGGCATCATCTGCAACACCCCCAGCCTCACCAGGCTCATTTTTCGAACAGCTGGCAAGAAAATGAGCCACCCCAGCGGCAACATCCTTAGCATCACCTGCAACACCCTCAGCCTCACCAGGCTCAGGAGAAAATGAGCCACCCCAGCAGCAACATCCTCAGCATCACCTGCGACATCAGCCACCTGCGACACCCTCAGCCTCACCTCAGCAGCGCGACAGCATCCTGGGCATCACCTGCAACACCCTCCGCCTCACCAGGCTCATTTTTTGAACAGCTAGCAGGAGAACATGAGCCACCCCAGCGGCAACATCCTCAGCATCACCTGCGACACCCTCAGCCTGACCAGGCCAATTTTTTGAATAGCTGGCAAGAGAAAATAACACCCCAGCGCCAACATCCTCAGCATCACCTGGATACATATTACATTACATTACATTACATTACGCTACAATACATTACATTACATGACATTGAATTACATTAAATTACATACATACATACATACATACATACATAGATACATACATTACATACATTACATACATACATACATTACATTCATACATACATACATACATACATACATACATACATTACATTACATTACATTACATTACATTACATTACATTACATTACATTACATTACATTACATACATACATACATACATTACATACATACATACATACATACATACATACATACATACATACATTACATACATACATACATACATACATACATACATACATACATACATACATACATACATACATACATACATACATACATACATACATACATACATACATACATACATACATACATACATACATACATACATACATTACATACATTACATTACATTACATTACATTACATACATACATTACATACATACATACATACATACATACATACATACATACATACATACATACATACATACATACATACATACATACATACATACATACATTACATTACATTACATTACATTACATTACATTACATTACATACATACATACATACATTACATACATACATACATACATACATACATACATACATACATTACATACATACATACATACATACATACATACATACATACATACATACATACATACATACATACATACATACATTACATACATTACATACATTACATACATACATACATACATACATACATACATACATACATACATACATACATACATACATACATACATACATACATACATACATACATACATACATACATACATACATACATACATACATACATACATACATACATACATACATACATACATACATACATACATACATACATACATACATACATACATACATACATACATACATACATACATACATACATACATATACATACATACATACATACATACATACATACATACATACATACATACATACATACATACATACATACATACATACATACATACATACATACATACATACATACATACATACATACATACATACATACATACATACATACATACATACATACATACATACATACATACATACATACATGCATACATACATACATACATACATACATACATACATACACACACATACACACACATACATACATACATACATACATACATACATACATACATACATACATACATACATACATACATACATGTGCGATGGTGTAAACCGTTTATCGAACAAATTTCAAGATAGAAGGCTATACCAGCGGAACGCATCAACTTGGAACTCGTCAACTCAGACGGTTTGCCTGCCTGTTGCCCAACCGAGTAAAGCTGGCAATGCAATGCAAACTCACAAGCGCCAGCCTCAAGTAGTCACATCACATCAGAAAGAGGTTCAGATCTGCTCCATCCCCAACAAAACTCTCTTCAAAACACAAGCAAAGAAGCGCTGCGGAGGAAGGCCGCAACTACACCGCCCAGGCCTGGGCACGTGTGCCCACTTTCACCATATTGGACGTCTGGAGGACTGCCCAAATGTGGCCAGGTTTACCCTAATGTCAGTGGGGGCCTCGATCTCACAAACCAAACACTCATCATTTTCACGCGAAACGACGGCATCCGCAAAGTCTAGCCAGATTGAAGGCTGAAAAGGCTGGCACACCTTCAAGCACGCGGTGCTTGTATATATATATATATATATATTTGGGAGTTGTATTGGATGTCTGTTTGGGGCCGGAAGGTCTAGCCCAGCACCACCTCGCGGCCGGCGCGCAGCTCCTCTGGCGCATTCATCAGGTTCAGGCCGTTCTTTGCTACGCAGGCCAGCCACTCCTGCTTCTCCTTGGCCTCGCCGCGACACATCCGGAGCCATTCCCAAGTCATAGGATATGATGCTGTGGGGCGAATGTTCACCCTGGATGAACCCTGCTCTCCATGCGCTGTGAAACTCCATGTGTTGGCCTGGCCATGGTCCTTGTTCGAGAATGGTCGTCCAAATCCATGTCCCGCGGAATGGCATCCCTGCTGTGAATCGCAAAGGAATCGGCTTGAGAAGGCAGGAAGGCTCGGAACTGGAACTTCCAAGGTCCCCTTGTTTCTGCGCAAAACAAACGTCTACAACCAGAACAAGTGAAATTCAAAGAGCCCTCCACAACATTCCCAAGTAAAGCCCTTGCGAAGGAACCTCCTCTAAATGAAACACCCGTCTGAATGGACCGCCTCTGAATAACACTTTAAGACTTGTCTGGGACTCCTCTGAAACTCTGAAGCCCGAGGAACATGTTCACACGCACACAGAGATGTGATCCCCAACAGCTGAACAGTTGGAAGCGCAAGAGCAACTTCTGAAGAAGTCTAAGGGCTGGTTCTCCACTGGAAGACCTTCATATCCAACCATGTCCAAGCCTCAGTTCCCCTTCACGCGATCATGCAAACTGGAAACACAGAGGGGGAGCTAAATCAGCTCCCAGCTCTTGCTTTTTGCATCAAGCCCATCGACTGCTTTGCGTCATGCCATCTTCTGGCGAGGCCCATGTTGAACAGCGCTATTCAACAAAGATTAGATTGAGATCTGCACCTAGAATGCACCATACCTCAAACCAGATTCATTGCATAGGCGCGCCCGGCCGCACCTAACCTAGAATCTTGCCCGAGTCCACCCTTGCAACCCGTTCCACCACCGTCCAGCCCCTCTATCCCCTCTCAAGCCCCTCCACCCCGTCAACCCCTTTCCACCCCACCCATGTATGCTTTTGTGTAGGCGTCCTGTGCTGCCACCACGGCAAGGTCTGCGCGCAGCTCCTCGCTGCGGCCCAGCTCCGAGGCCCGGGTCAGGTGCAGCTGGGGGGTGTCCGGCCAAAGATTCGAGTGCAGCTGTGGAACTAAAAAAGGCACCGGTCCTGCTGATTGTTTTGAACTCTTGAAATTTCAAGCAACATTGGACATGTTGTGGGCGCGTTAGTTCTGGAAAACCGACTCCCAGCAAAGCACGCTGCTGGGCGAGTGCCAAGTGTGATTGGCTATACCAACACACCGAAGCAGCTTGCAATTCTTCGATGCAACCGGTTTACCTGCGCGTTGCCAACCGACTAGCAACCAGACTCAAGTACTGACATCACATCAGGGACAGTCTCAGATCTGCTCCATCCCCTTTAGCCCCTCAAGGCAATCAAAGCCATTTGCCAATGGAAGCCAGTTTTTGCCCCAAGGTCAAATTTTGCACGCTCCGTGCTGGTTGGCGCCATCCGAAGCTGGTCCAAGTTGGAGTCGCAGGGCTGAGATAGAAGCAGTCTACAAATTTAGCCGTACAGCTGGAGGCGTGAATTTGAAGCGCGCGGTATATTGGATTCCTGGCTGACATATAGTCTTTCAGCGTGTTAAGAAATGTTATAAAGCCAGAAACGGCCCAACAACTTGTTTGAGACCAAACAAGAAGGTTCAGGGGCTTCAAAAAAGTGCATGCCGCCCCATAATATACAAAGGAAAAACCGTTCGTCCGGGGCAGCGTACCGTCAAATCATTCGTTCAGAAAATATAATTTGCAAATGTCCGAAGCAGCACAAGCCATGGCCATGGACCAAGCGCAAAAGCAGTCCTCAAAACTCAAACAAAGACATCAAGTCCCAACAAACCTCTTACTCGGGGCTTGAGATCGGATCCCCCTCCAGACTGCCCCCCAACAGCTCCTCTGAGGCGAACTTCAGTGCGCGGTAGTCCTTTGCCACTGCCGCCGCCACTACCTCACGGTCTGCCTGCAGCTCCTCGCGGCCCGGTTCTGAGGTTTGAGGGTACTGGAAAAACCCAAAAGAAAATCTTCCAGGCCTGGTCCTACTGGTGGTTTTGAATGGCCGCTGCATGCTTTAAGAAGGCTACCAAAGACCATACCAACAGAACGCATCAAATTGGAATCCTTTTGTAACTGGTTTACCCGCGCATTGCCCAACAATTGGCTAGCAAACTCACAAGCACCAGCCTCAAGTAATAAAATCAGGAATCGCCCAGATCTGCTCAATCCCGAACAAAGCGCTCGTCACAACACAAACAAAGAGAACTAACCCCGATGAAGCTCTTTGGATCTGGCCCAATGTGGCCACTTTTACCCCAATGCCAGTGGGGACGAAGATTTTGCAATCCAAGCACTCCTCATTTCCGCGCGAATGTCTGCAAGGAGCCAAATCTAGGCTTGGCAAGCACAAAGAAACAAACTGGAGAAGGCCACTTTCCCGACAGGCGCTGGTTTTTTTTTCTCCGGTTTGCGTGATTTGCCCGTATTTGGCCGCAAACCCGTATTGCGTCCATAAAGATTGAACAACAAGTTAAGAAAACTGTATTTGGTCGTATGACCAGCTTTTTCGGGCAAAGATGTTTGACCAACAACAACAGCCTTTTAGGCGCTCCAGGAAGTCAAATCAGTCTTTGCCAATTGCCACCAGGGCGATTTTTGCAGTGCACTCGGCGGCGCTGGCCGGCCCCATTCCCCCACGTTAGAGGCACAACGAGGAACGCGGGTGTGGAAGCAGTCCAGAAAGCTCTGAATTCCTTGCCAAAGGTAGCTTTTACGGGCCAGCCCCAGCACTTTATTCAATATGCATGAAGAATGCACTACCTCCAATGGCTTCAGCCTCGGAGAGCCTTAGGCTTTCTTTGTGCGCTGCTGGGGATGTCCAAGTCTTTGCCACCAAATAAACAGACATTCAGCACGTTAGGATAAGGCCCAGATCTGCTGTCGCATATTGTGAGCAAAAGCAGTCCTCAAAACTCAAACAAAAACATAAAGTATCCCAACAAACCTCTTGAAGAGGCCGTGAGCGAGGACTACTGGGGGCTTGAGATCGGATCCCTGCCCAACTACTGCGTGCCTTGACCTCCGGACTGCCCCCCGACAGCTCCTTGGAGGCAAACTTCAGCGCGCGGTGGTTCTTCCTCACTGCGGCCAGGACCACCTCACGGTCTGCCTGCAGCTCCTGCACACGGCCCGGCTCCGAGGCTTCCTGGGCCTAGGGGCGCGAGGGTCAGCGCGTCAGCGCAGCTGGCGGTGCCCCTCCAGCAAGGATTCGAGCGCAGCTCCGGGAAAAAAAGGCGGACAACGCCCTGGACTTGATGATGCTTTTTTGGACCACATTTCGGACCTTGGTCCTGAGTTTTGCAAATCAAGCCAGTCCCAAACAACATCAAAGGCCATACCAACATATAGAATGCATCAGATTGGAAGCATCAGATTGGAATCTTCGACGCATCCGGTTTACCTATGCGTTGCCCAACCGACTCGCTAGCAACACGTCAAACACACAAGCACCAGCCTGAAGCCAGGAGGAGGCTCAGATCTGCTCACACATTCCGAACAAAATTACACTCAAAACGCAAAGAAGAAATCCGATCCCAATAAAGCTCTTTCAAAGGCCGTGAGTGAGTCCTCCCCCCGGGAATGGAATCGGATGGCCCCAAATCGTGCCGTGCCTGTACCGAGTTCCCTGCCGGCGGCTTGAGCAGCAATGCTTTGGCAGCTCGGTCGAAGAGCCTTTCCACCTGACGAACGAATGGAACAACACAAATCCCGGGGTCCGCCAGAAAACCGCGCAAGATGTCGAATCTCCAAAAGGTTTTCATCTCCCATAGGCTATACAATTGTTCTCGGGAAACCAAAGAAAAGCAACCAACCCTTGGAGGAATCTTTCAGAGGTTCGGCACAACGATACTTTGTAGCCCACGTCCGTGCCACTTCGCTTCTCACAATCCCTTTGGATAGTCTAGCACTTAAATGTTCCTTTGGTTTCCCTCCAAAATAATTCCCACCGGTGTTCGCAGCTCGAAACATTCAGCTCCTACATGCAGCTGTTTGGATGTTCGTGGAACATCACCCTTGCGAATTGGGCCATTCCCACTTTCTCCGGGATTCCCTTGGTACAGAACATTGCCCCGCTAGCCGCATTTCCCGCAACCAAGACTGCCCCCATTATTTCCCCATTATCAAAGTCATGAAGAGAAGCAACCAATTCCGGCTTCTGACTTTGAGAACCCCCTCCCCATAAACAGAACCAATATGCTGCCAGCATGACCCAACCACAACGGGACGAACCATTCCACATTCCACGGCGAATCATTCCACGCCCCACGCCTGCTCCTGGATCTTCGGCACGTCTTCCTCATCCTGGAACTCTACTTGCTCGAATTCGATCTCGAACGTGCGTTGCGCCACATCGATCTCAAAGCGCTCCACCTGAGCAATCAAACCCGGTACTGAAAGGGTCTACCCAAACCAACGTAGAATCCAAAGGGCGGCCCACCATATCCTTAATCTACCCTGGTTTGATTGGCATACTCAAAACCTGGTATGAATGTGGTCTGCCCAAAACCAAAGGTAAAAAACCAAAAGGGTGGATACCGCTATGGTTGGGACTGGCCCATACTATCCTTAATCCCCAGGAATCGCTTTTGATTGTGGCTGACCTGAGAGCAAAGAATCCATGCGCTCATGGGTGTCGTTCCTTCTGGGATGGGACTGGAAGTGGACAAGTTGCCATTTGTTCTCTGAAAACGATCCTTTTGTCATCCTGCGATGAGTGTGGCTCCGTTTTGGATGTCACCCCTCCCACCAACATGCAACCCACCAAAGCGTCTCTGGTAGCGGAAAATTGGCAACCAACAACTGAGGCTATCATCGAACAAGGGAACTATCCCTTCTTCCTTCAATCATGGAAGTGGACAAACAGCTTTTCCCATGGACCGGCGAGTCTTGAGAGCTTCAAGATCGACCCTCAAACCGATCAACTTGTCAAGGTTTTGGGGGCTGGATGGACAAATGTCGTACTTAGCTTAGCACTGCGCGGGATCCTTGCAGCCTGGGCTGAGAGGGGCGGCTTCGGCGCCCTGACGTGCTCTTGCCCCCTTCGGCGGCTCTCCAACTTCGCTTGACTTAGCCGTTACTGGCCCTCGGATTGAGGCGCTGGCGGAGGGCGACAGCGTCTGCTGCTGCTTACGCGGGGGTGAAGATGGCTTTCATTGAGACATGCTGAGCATGTGCTTGAGTTTGCTGAGCCTGAGCTTTCGTGCAGGATCTTGACAGTGCGGCATGCTTGAAGATCTGTGCGAAGCGGTGCTACTGCAAACACACATGGAAAACGCAAGGCAGCTCCAAGCATGCAAAAGGACCTGCAATATCAGCACACGCCGAGTTGAAAGGAATTCATGAAACACTGCCCGAAACACTTCCCAACGTCCTTCTTGGGTGCATCTGCTGAGCAGTAGTTGTGTGCATCGTCAAAGAAGCGCATCTTGAATAAGGGACAGGTGACTGCATCCACTGCCTGACAAACTTATGTTGACGACGCATAAGCCACCGATGCCAAACCCATGCCCGAAACTGGTGACACCTGCTCCAGTTTCAGCTTGCTGTTCACGAGTAGCCGCACGTGGTTGCCGGCCAGCTGTAAGAGAACGACCTCAGTGCTGCTTGGTGTGGTAGGTACTCCAAGGAATGTCCTTGCCAACTTCACCTTGCCCACCCACCAACTAACATGGGACCCACCGAAGGGGGGAGGGACACTTTTGGAGGACAGTTGTCTTCCAGGGATCTCCGGTCAGGCTCCATGTTAGTTTGTAGGGGCAAAACCCAGAATTGGCGATTAGGATTGGTGTCTTGGGGGTTTGGGGGCAGCTTTCCAAGATCAACTTGGGTCATGGTCAAACATTTAATCCAAAGTAAGGTGCAACCTAACATCAAACAACCATGAACTATTCGTCTCTGTCCTGACTTGCACGGTGTGTCACCCTTGCACTAATCAGCACACACCAAGCAAGGTCGAATCCTCAAGCCATGCGTCGTCACGATCAGTGTCCGTGAAGACAACTTCGTCCAGCTTCGTCTCAGAGCTCTTTCCTTGGATCGTGGCACATAAAAGTCATGTCAACCTGATCCGCCCGCCATCTCTTCCAGTATTCAAACTGAAGGTGCCCCGTAGTTTGGAATTGACTCATCAAAACTTGGGTGCCACTCAAATACGCCCAGGTGGTATCCCCAACAGCAACCACCGGAACCCTTCGCGAATCTTAGCCCGTAGCGGCTCCACGCTGTAAACCCCTCCGGACAATCCAACAACCACTCCACACCACCCCCAAAACTCTTCGAAACCCGTCAGATCCCCAAACCAGCAGGAACCCAAAGCAACTGCCTCATGAAAGCCTCCGAAACATCCACACCCCTACACAGCAACCGCTCCATGCAACTTGGAACGTTCCGAACCTGAAGGAACTGCTCCCGGAACCCTACCTCGCTGCTCCGGACCACTTTGGGGCTGGGCAAGGACGCTTTCAGCTGGGAAAAACAGATTTACCAGCCATGACCGTTTTTCCCTTAGAAACCGATTACGCAAAGCCAAGTCAACAATGTGCTTGTTCCCCCGGGACACGTTTCCCTTCAGTTTCTGCAGACCTCAAAAAGGGTGCCAGCTCTCAAACGCAACACAACTCTTCACGAGGCCATCTCCAAACATGCGGTTTTTGGTTGCTGCTCAGCAACTGTAATGTTAGGTTGCGAATAATAAATGGGGAGTCAATACAAAAAAAGTAAATCCAAAATTATTCACACCCCTGAAAAGCCAAAGGGGGAGTTAATACACAAAAGTTTTTGTGAGGGGCAACAAATCCGGAAAAATGTTCCCCCCAAAAAAGTTTGATAATTAATCCCTAGTTCAGTGCAACTCCTGTCTCTCTCTCTGCCCCGCCCGCCCCCCCCAACCTGACCACCATGTACCACCAACCACCACTAGCAGTGAGGAAGATCATGTGTCCTGCACTGAGTCCCCCCAGAAAAGGAAGTTTCCTTTCCAAAGAACTACTGAGTCTCCCCAGAAAAAGGAAGTTTGACTGAGGTCCCCAACACACAAATTCTTTATGACAGCCCTTACTAAAAGTTGCACCCTGCCAAATTTTCAAGGGGGTAGTACAGGGAACACGCAGGAAGCCAATAATGAGATTTGTTTAAGGGGAGTTAATTGAGAAAAGTGTTTTAGGACTGGGGCCAGGGATGCCTGCAAGGAAAAGTGCTTCCCTTTCCAAAGAACTACTGAGTCTCCCCAGAAAAGGAAGTTTCCTTTCCAAAGAACTACTGAGTCTCCCCAGAAAAGGAAGTTTGACTGAGGCCCCCAATGCACAAATTCTTTATGACAGCCCTTACTAAAAGTTGCACCCTGCCAAATTTTCAAGGGGGTAGTACAGGGAACACCCAGGAAGCCAATAATGAGATTTGTTTAAGGGGAGTTAATTGAGAAAAGTTTTTTAGGACTGGGGCCAGGGATGCCTGCAAGGAAAAGGGCTTCCCTTTCCAAAGAACTACTGAGTCTCCCCAGAAAAGGAAGTTTCCTTTCCAAAGAATACTAAACCAATACTAAACCAATTCTAAACAGTACTAAGCCAGTCAGCAAGAATACTAAACCAATACTAAACCAATACTAACCAATACTTACTGGAATACTACTTAGGGAAGACCCGGTCTGACCCTCATTTTGTTTTTAGGGTTTCCTCTATTGACCCCCCCCATTTTGTTTGGGGGGGGCGGCCCTTTATTATTCACTCCCCAACATTACACCAAAAACATGTATATGTTCAGACTCTGCAAAGCATACTCAGTCTGCCCTGAAGAAATGACCTTGGAGATGCCAAACAAATGGCTCCAGAAGGACACGTTTTGCTGCAAACATTCGATCCAAGAGGCTTGCAGAGTCCTGGCCGAAGCCCGCCGGAGCTTTGGACACTCTGTTTTTGGGGGGTGCTTTGGGGATCCATCAGGAAACACTTGTTTCAACCCGACTCTCCACCTACTTCATGGTGTTGGGGTCCAAAAGCATCTTGGGGGTGGAAGACACAGGGTCTTCTCTTGGTTTGTTTGACAACTCTCCAGCCTCCGCATCCTCTGTGCTCAGCAGCTTGGGCGCCGCTTCGTCCAACTCGGCCTGGGCTTCGTGGACCCAGCCCCAACTGAGTTACACAGCGCACGCAAACAAAAATACGCACTGCGGGGTAAATACTCGGCAAACTTAAGTGAACCATTCTGGTGATTTTGAGGGGAGGGCTTCAACCAAAAGGGCCGGTGACCCCGGACCCTCGCAGGTTGCAGGTAGACGTGGCAGCCCTCGCAAGGTTTGATTGCTGATTTGCTTTGGGCAACTGACTTTTCGCAGCTGACAACTTCCCTCTGGGCAAACCCCCCCTCCAGACACACTTGAAGGAAACGCAAAAACAACATTTCGATGTGGAAGCATTCCGGAAGAATGCAACTGGGCAACAAAAGCAACTCACAAATGAAACCTTAAGATCATTTACGTTTGACTCATTCCCAGGAGCCTGAAAGACGGAGGGAAGCCCTTGTTGGGTCTTACCATCATGAACCAGAGGGAAGCAAACCTCATTTCAATTTAGGTGGGATGTTTTGTCACGGAAAAAGCACGGCAAGCATCATGCCAATTTGCGTCGTTTACTACAGGTCAATGTGTTGTCCAATGCCAAGACACATTAGGGGAAGACACTTCAGTTGTTTGCCAATGTCAAGGACCTACTATGCCGTTCTGCAAAATGCAGGACATCAAGCAAGGGGCAAGCTCCGAAAGCTAAATCGACGCCCTGCTGATCAGAAAGTACAACATAAACAATATTTAGCTTTTAGGCAACGCCGACAGATCCTGCGCTTGCAATGTTCATTGCGTCAAATCCGACCTGCACTCGCTGGGTGCAGCGCGCCTGTACTTCCGGCGACTCCCCGTGGAGCTCGGGGGCGAATGGCGGGGGCAGTTCTTGGTGGAGCTCTTGGGTGGGCAGCGCTGCGTACGCCTGCGCAGTCCCCAGCTGCGCAGCCTGCGTGGGTCGACCGCGGCAATCCCACGAAAGGCCGGAGGCTAGCCAGGTCGTCCCAAACAGCTGAGCCCTTCCAAAGGGATGCCTGTTTTGCAAGCGACTTTGTATCATAACACGATGTACATGGCGTAATCTATTGTAAATGGATGCGACTGGGAACGATCTCAAAAGAGAGATGTGCCTTTGCAAGCCTTTACATATGCGTGCGTCGCATAAGTTGGTAGACCATGATTTCAGGGGAGACGCATCTTGCCATGCGATGATATATGTGCGGTAATAACATGGGTTGGCATGACACACAGCGGAACGCCAATGCATGTGACACCGGCAGACACTACATGTTTGGCACATCAGCATCTAAACACAGAATGATGCTATTCGGCGCAACACTAAACCAGTCTTCCTGCAGGCTGACATTCCCTTGCACGTGTAACGTACCATGTACGGATATGACAGTATCAAGTCAAAGTAACATGATGGCACCTGACCTTGTGTGGCGTCATAGGCCGTGTTGTGGCGTGAACTGATTTTACTCCATGTCTAAACAGGAGTGCAAATTGCAGCCGTCTTTCACTTTACACAAAAACACAAGGGTGCGGAAATATTTTGGGATTTTTTCGTTTTTTGGGATTTTTCCCCAAATAGCTGAAAGCTACAGGGGTTCTAACTTGTAATGAAGAGGGGGAAGTGATTTCCGAGATTGATGGGCTGGTGCTAAGGGGCGTGCAGTTTGGGGTGCTGGTTTTTGCGGATTGGGGTGCTGTTTGAGGTGCTGATGGCAGTGCGGGCGCATCTTTTCAAAATTGACGGTAGGGTGCTAGGGGGCATGCAGTTTGGGGGTGCTGGTGCAGGTGCTTTTTTGGGGGTGACGGTGTTTTTGCATCTTGACGGTAGGGTGCACGGGAGCATGCAGTTTGGGGTGCTGGTGCTGGTGGTGTTTTGGGATGCTGTTTGGGGAGCTGTTTGAGGTGCTGGTGACGGTGCGGGCGCAATTTGCGATATTGACGTCCGGGTGCTACAGTATCGGGCATGCAGGTGACGGTGCAGTAGGGTGCAAGGGGGCATGCAGCTTGGGGTGCTGGTGCAGGTCGCGTTTTGGGATGCTGTTTGGGGTGCGGCTGGGTGTTTGGGGGGGTGCTGTTTGGGGTGCTCAGGCGCATTTTTGCGAGATTGACGGCAGGGTGCAGGGTGCATGCAGTTTGGGGTGCTGCTGCAGGTGCTGTTTTGGGATGCTGTTTGGGGTGCTGTTGGAGGTGCTAGTGATGGCGCGGGGTGCTGTTGGAGGTGCTGGTGTGCAATCATTGCTATCTGGGGTCTATGCTGGTGTATTTGTTTTTCGTTTTTCGTCCGGGCCAGTAAAATGCCGTATTTTACTGCATGTTCTCGCGAAATTTGCGCATTTTACACAAGCCCGTCAACATTTCCAGCATCGTTTTCAACATCCCCCGCATGTCCGACCAACATCCCTAGCATCACCAACAAATCGTGGGTAACAAAATCAAAAAAGTAGCTGGCGGGTTGACGGGGTCAAAAAAATGATGATTCAACAAGGAGGGCATTTCAATCCCTGTAAAACATTACACCTGCGTAGACCCCAGATAGCACACCACTGCTACGAACCATGACGCAGCATCATAATGGTTCCCGCGGCATGATGATGATGTTGACAGCATCTTGATAATGTTGACAGCATCATGGAAATACCACAGCTACTCAGCATAGTGCGCTACATAGACGCGCAGACAACATCCCAGTGAGTCCATCAGCAAAACGATGATGTTGACAGAATGATGCTGATACACCAGCCACGAACGATTCCGTGCTACATATCTACCGTGAATGTCGCATCATCATGATGCTGGCCGCAGCATTGGTGCTGTCAGCAGTATCATGATGCTGTTGACCGATTCGGACGTTGTTGCTGCTCTAACTGTCGCGCGTAATGGTGCGTGGCTGGTGTATCATCATGATGTTGTCAACCACGTTATGGTTCTACTACACTCGCTGCGATGACGCGTTATGGTTCGTGGGTGTGGTGGCGGGCATAATGCTGTCAGCATCAGGGTGATGCCGAATTTCATTACACTGTTGCAAGATGATTCGTGGCTGTGGTATCATCAGGATGCTGCCTTTGCCATCACCATGATGCTGTGAGCTCATTCCTTGTTTTTTCTGATATTCAATTATTTTATTTTGAGTTTCTATAACTCTTTCTAAATCTTCAACATTGAACTCATCCCACCAACACGGTTCTTTATCAGTATCTACTTTCAAACCTTCTTTAATGTATTTCTTCACTGGCAACCAAATACTACCCAAATTTACAGATGGGGACCAGATAAAAATTCTTTCAAATGCTCCTCTATAAATATCAAGTATCATTGATACAAGTAAAGTTGATTTTCCAGAACCAGACGGACCTGCAATCATAGCTCTCATCGGCAATTTAGGGACAACCTCGTGCTTACTTTGTTTAAAGTCATATTTGATTTCATCAATTGGTTTTACATCAGGCATAATAAAAGTAATATAAATACTTAGAAAAATAAACAAATATATAATATAATTATATCATGATGTCAAGAGAATCTATTAATTTAAGTGAAGTGGCTAGTATTCGGATTATATTTAAATTTTGTGATATCTTAGTGCCAGACACTAATCAAATATATTATGATACGATGTTATACTTTTTGTCGGCAATTAAAAAGCAAAATGTTATAGTATCCAAATCATCAATTGAAAGTGACAATAGCCTAAATTTTAGAAAGTTAGTAAATTTTATGAAAGATTATCCCGATAAATATACAAATGAAATGATAAATAGTGTACAAGAAGTTATTGATATTAATATTAGAGATGTTAGTCTATCAACTGCAATGAAACTTACTAAAGAAAATAGTTTAAAAACGTATTCTATTTAATATTAAATGGACGTGAGGAACGAGCCTCGCGTGCTAACGCGACGTGAGGAACGAGCCTCGCGTGCTAACGCGACGTGAGGAACGAGCCTCGCGTGCTAACGCGACCATCATTTTTATGATATGCTGGTGGTGAATATCATAAAAATGGAACAGGTTGTCGCGAAGCTTCAATCAATAAAGCATTGAAGCTAATTAGTTTGATGCATTGTAAAGAAAACCCCAAGTGCTGTGCCCCACCAATATTCTATTATGCAAGAAAATAATAAGATTAAATAACTATTTTATCTTATTATTTAATATGGATAGAAGTTATTCAGATTATATTGATATAGTAAATGAAGTACAACATATAGAAGATGTTGTTATAACCGATTAAAAATTAAGAAATGTTGTTATTATTCATTAGAATTAATTAAGCTAGGAATACATTATATCAAAAATAAGAATGTAAATATTAATATAAATGGGAAGAAAGAAAAAGAATAAGACAGAACCAGTTGTTTCTTCAACTGATGAAGAAAAAGAAGAAATTGTTAAAGAAACACCAGTTATTGAGTTTGCTTGCCCAATGTGTAAAAAGATGTTAGAAATGCAAAATGAATTAGAAATACAAAAGAAAGGAAATTGTAAATGTTCATGTATTCCGACAAGTTTCAAAATAAGTAAAAATGATAAGAAAATGAATATTGATAAAACTAAAGACAGTATAAACTTAGAAACAGATGTTCATAATATTGCTATCAAATGGGGAAGGCATGCATCACCATCCGATAATGGTGATAAGGAAACTCAGGAAACTATACGAAAAATTAGTATTTAAAGAGTAGATTTAACATAATTGCAACATTTAGTTTTAAAAGTTTAGTTTTATAATTTAGTATAGGGACGAATTTTCAAGTTTAACAAATTTACATTTTGGAGCACTTGAATTAGATAAAAAAAATGGAGACAATAATTATAATGGTGTTAGTTATCATACTTGTAAGTGTGGTTGTAAAATAGTCTTAACTCGTACTCAAGCTAAAAAATTTATCTTTTTATTAATTAGTTTTGGTCTTAGCTACGAATATTTATATCTAGACAAAGCGTTAGTATGTGGACATACTCAAAAAGACTTAGATAACATTGTTAGACTTATGGTGCAAGGCAAAGAATTTAAACATTTAAGTAACAAAGACCTTCGAAATTAAAACATTTAGTTTTAAAAGTTTAGTTTCATAATTTAGTATATATTTACATGGATGAAGGATTAGAAAAGATTGTTAAAAAACTGAACAAGGTTTTAGAACAGAATAAGAATATTTTAGAAATCTTACAAGAAATGGAAAAGAAGAAACCATTAACAAACAGTTATCAAAGTAAAGAAGTAGATAGAACCAATGGTGAATATAAGAATAAGAGAAATATTTATTTAAACAAACTTAATAACAAAGAAATTAAAGAACCGAAGTCTTCCACTATGACATTTTATCAAATTGACTATGATGAGGAAACGCAACTTTATTCATAAAGTTGTATTTACTCATTGAAAACTAAACATAGTTTAGTTTTTAACGAGGAAACAGGGATTTTTATTCATAGATGATATTATCTAAATATCTTTAATAATGAACTTATTAGAGATGTTTAGCGGAACAGGTAGTGTTGGACGTGTTGCAAAGTCGCTCGGTTTCAATGTTATTTCATTGGATTTGAAAAATGCTGATATAAATACTGATATTTTGAAATTGGATTATAAACAATTTGATAGGAACCATTTTGATTTTATTTGGAGTAGTCCCCCATGCACTGAATATAGTGTAGCAAAAACTACAGGAATTAGGAATATCGAATATGCTAACAGTATAGTTTTAAAAACTATTGAAATTATCAATTATTTTAATCCTAAATATTTTGTACTCGAAAATCATCAAAAATCAGGAGTTTATGGATGAGTTTGATTTTAAAGATGTAGATTATTGTAAATATGGAATGCCTTACAGAAAGCGCACTAGGCTCTGGAATAACATTACAACATGGAAACCTAGAGATTTATGTAAAAAGGATTGTGGCAACATCAGGAATAATAAACATATTGCAACAGCACAACGGCTACCATCGGGCACTAAGGAAAAATGGGGAGACAATCCAACAATACATAAGCAGGAAGATTTATATAAAATACCTAGTAGTTTAATCAGTGAAATTTTGGTGAGTGTGATGAACTAAGCACAACCAAAACATAAGACAACCATTGTCAAAAAATGGTGACGTTTTCGCAATGTGGTTTCCTCAATGTGATTTTCACAATGTGGTTTTCGCACAGGGGTATGTGGTTTCCACAATGTGGTTTTCACATAGGGGTATGTGGTTTTCACATAGGGGTATGTGGTTTTCACATAGGGGTATGTGGTTTTACAATGTGGTTTTCACATCAAAGAATAGTTGTCTCATAATTGTAAGATAACTATAACATGTAAAATCTTATATGTTATAATTATACTAAACTTATGGTTTGTTTCTTAATTTTTAATAATGCCTTAAAATGACTTAAAGAAATCGTGCCTTAATATAATAAGAGGAAAATGAACGGTGATAAAATCAATAATTATATCAATAAAAAAATGCTATGATTGTTGTCACTTCAAAAAAGAAAATATGGAGTTGTATAAATTGAATTTACCTAATGAAATAGTGAATAATATTATGAATTATTCAACGGATGAAAAAGACGAATGTGAAAACTGTAAAAATTGGAGAGATAATCAATTTTTAATCAAATGTTTGTTGAGAATAAAAGGAAGACATAATAGAAATGTAGAAGATGAGATTTTAATATTTTTAACTGTAAGTAAAATACCACCTTACGATTATGTTAAACAGTTTCTTAAAATCAGTAAGAAAATGTGAAATGATTTATGATATATTATGGATGTTGGGTTATAGTCATGAGAAAGGAGAAGATGTTAAAGAAAATATCAAATTATTTATTGAAAGTGAAAAGTTTAATATTCAAAATACATTGAGAGATATTAATATTATTTTTAAAATGATGTATGAAAGAAGTAAGACAAATCAATTAAATTATATCCTGAACTGAAATTCTAATCATAATATAATAACATGTAAAATCTTATATGTTATAATTATACTATACTTATGGTTTGTAAAGATTGAAATATTTTATTTTTTCTTAATTTGCTTGACTCTTTCAAAGCGCGTTGTTTGAACTTGGTATGCTCTTTTGTTTTTTTCGTGCGTTGGCTGTTTGTTTTTATTTTGTTTGATACTCTTGTGATATTTTTTGTTGGTATGTTGCTTTGTTTTTTGGTTGATGTGTGTGTTTGAGTTTGGGTTCTTTGATGGTTTTTATTTTTGCTGTTTTGTTGGGATGCTTGTTTGAATTATTGTAATGTTGTATGCTGTGATTAAATATTTTTGTTGCTGGTTGTGATTATTTATTTTGTTTGCTTGTTGTTCTGGATTTTGTTTTCTGTTTGTTGTGTTGCTGATGGAAAAAATAGTAAAAGAATAATTCTTAGAATTCTCCTTTTACTATTTTTTTTGGGGGGCAGCCCCCCCCATGATGTTCGAAGAATTGATGATTCAGCTAGGGGTGCAATTAATTAAATCTCTGTAGAAAATCTAAAACGTAGCGGGGTGGTTGCCGCCCCCCCCATGATGTCGGAAGAAGTGAGGATTCAAGTAGGGGTGCAATGATTCAAGAAAGGGTGGGAGAGGGTTGGGGGGGGTGGCTTCCCCTATAATGTTCGAAGAAGTACATACATACAGACATACATGGATTACACAGAATACCTAAAATGTTGTATTTTGCAGCATTTTCTCGCGAAATTGGACGCTCGAAAAGTGATGATTGAACTAGGGGTGCAACTCAATCTCTGCAAGATAAATCCAAAAAATAGCGGGGGGGGGGGGGGGGGCCGCCCCCCCATGATGTTTGAAGAAGTGTTAATTCAAATAGGGGTGCAATTACTCTGCAAGCAATCTAAACAGTAGCGGGTGGGTTGCGGGGTGAGCTTCCCCCCCTATGATGTTTGAAGAAGTGATGATTCAAATAGGGAGGAACTGGTGATGCTGATGATGCGGGAAGCCACATCCGCAACAGCCAAAAAGCCCGGACAGGAACTGGGAAAGCAAAGGATGCAAAAAGCTAAAACCGCCAAAAACCGCATAAAGCAGCAAAAAGCCGCAAAAGCCAAAATGCCACCTTCCAAAGAGGAACTGGGAATGCAGAGGATGCGAGAGGCAGAAGCTGAGAAGCCAGCCAAGAAGCCAAGAAGCCAAGAAGCCGCCAAGAAGCCAAGAAGCCAAGAAGCAAAAAAACAAAAAAGCCAAGAAGCCAAGAAGCCAAAAGCCAAGAAGCCAAGAAGCCAAGAAGCCAAGAAGCCAAGAAGCAAAAAAGCCAAGAAGCCAAGAAGCCAAGAAGCCAAGAAGCCAAGAAGCCAAAAGCGAAAAAAATCCAAAAAAACATCATAAAATAAATACCCCTCCAAAACACAATATCTTTCTTGACCTCGAAGGGTCTGTGCAGCTCAAGTGCCCCGTGGAATTGGCTTCTGGGCCACCCGTACCTCAGGCAACACATTGCTCTTTGCACAAGTGTTTTGAAGCAAGGTTGCATCACCGGTTCCGAAGAGGGCTTCCACTTTCAAGGTGACATCCTCTTGCTCTGAATTGAGTTCAGTGGATTCAGAATGGGTGCACCCTTTTTGACGGTCTTTGATACTTGTCCACTTGTGGTTGCTAGCCCTCTATTTGCCTTGATGTCCTGGAATTCATAGATATTATCACAAAGCAAAGCCCACGTTATGATGCGGCTCTCATGGTTAAAAACGACATGATCTGCAAGGAGACAGTTTGCATGCTTCTATTAAGCGTCAATGCGTAATTGTAGGTACTACGATTAAACTTTTAGTTTAGCAAACGCGGTTGTTTGCTGTGCTTTCAGAAACAAACACACCTAAAAGGGAAGGTTCCTCTCCACTGCCACCGCTCAGTAGCTCAAACTTGGCTTTGATTGAAACTGCAACTGCACGTTGCGCAATGTCAAAATCACATATGCACAGTCTTGAAGCCCGCGCTGCAACTGCACATCAACAAGTCTATTCCCGCTAGAAACACTTGGCGCAATTACTCGAATCTTGCCCTTCAGGACTTCAGCCAGGCCAAACTAACAACCAGCAAGGATCGGAGACCTGACCGACACTTCCAACCCAAACTACTTCTTCGGATCTTGGTGGACATCTGTGCCAGCAGACTTTGCTTTCGCCGCCCCGAGCCAGCCTCGGTACTCGTAGCCTGAGGTTTTTCGTTCTGATGCATGCCGGTCACGCTTGCTGGCACCTGACAGGCGGGCAGCGAAAGCGCCACAGCATGCAGCTTGGGCATGTCGACTTGTTGACTTTTCGCAATGAGCTCCACAAGTTTGGCGGGAACCAGAGGAACCTGCAGCACTTCAAATTTCTGGCGAATGGATCAGCTGATTGTTCACAAGCTATGAACAGCGCCTCCAAACAAAGATTGGATTTGGTTCGGCGCCTAGAATGCATCATACCTCAAGCCACGCTGCGTAGGCATGAGGAGAAAGCCAACGAAGGCCCCCCGAGTCTGGCCCCGTCACCCTTTCCACCTGCTCCACCCCCGTTCACCCCCTCCATCCTCCACCCCTTGAAAGCCCCTTTCCACACACTCATGCTTGCTTCTGTTGCACCTTGTCAAAAAGAAGATCCAGGAAGTCGCTGACACCTGGGCCATCGCTCGGCTGTGAGGGACTAATTGAAGCACAGCAGTCAAGGGAAGCGCACTGGTAACGAGCCGAAGATGCAATATGATCCATCCAAACGTGTCAAGCAAGCTTAAACTTGTCAACGCTGCAAATGTCGCGGCGTGTCCCATTAAGTACCTGAAGTGAGTCATGTTGCTGCCATCGTTCAAGGATATCACCAACCAAGGCATAAACACAGCAAGGCCGGCCGAGGCGCTGATTTCGCGCGTGTTGCCAAGTTCCTCCGAGGCTTGTGAATCTTGAATCGTTTGGAGTTTCCGCCTTAGAACCTCCAGAAAACTGCAGCACTTGTGGGTTTCTGCCTGGAGCTAGATCATTTAGTAACCGCGGTTTTCCAACTTTGACAGTGCGCTCAAAAAGACAACTTCCCCCTGCAAAAGGCTAAGCAATCCAATGGGGATGGCCTGGGAAATTGCAGGCTTCTTCTCATGCAATTCTACATCATTTTGCGGCTTCAAAAATCAATCCCGCGAAGCACGTTCGACAAGGCTCCAGGATATTCTGGATGGTAGACAGGGAGTCTGGTGACAAACTCAGACCCACTGCCTACGTGGCTGGCTTTAAACTCAAACAAAAAATAGGAGTCTGGCAAAAACAAAACTTGAAGCTCACTCATGCCTGGCATCCGTCAACATAATGAAAACACAACAAACGATGACTAACGCCCAGCTATCATCTAGAACAGCACAAGACTTGGGCTTCACTCATCGGACGAGGAGGCAAAGCAACATATTCGCTCTGTAATCAACAAAAAGGTCCCTTCTGACTAGCCACTGCAAGGCTGCTTGCTTCTGAAGCCTACGGTGCCGCCATCTAGATATCCGACACTTAAATAGGCCAACAATAATTCTATACCCGCAAGGGGTACCGCCGGCCCGGACCAATCTAAATATCCGATGTAGAAACGGTTGCCTTCGGCCCGGCCAGCGCCATTTCTACGTCGGGAAATGTCGGGCTCGCTCTCGAGCTGGAGGACTGGAGGGCTTCAGTTGAAGTCTCCGATGAAAACCCATCTTTCAACACTTTATCTTTCCAGGGCCGCGCTTTAAATATCCAAATTGAACTCCCAGCCCAGCCCTGAAGCCCGGCCCGCACGTGTTTAAGTGTCGCCGCTGTAGAATCATGTGTAGTCGAGGGTTGTCCAACATTCCTTGCTCCAAAAATCGCCTTCCGCCTCGCCCTTCCGCGAACTTCCGCGAACTTCTGCGATGGAGGTAAAACCACGTTCTGATACGTGTCTGAACATAAGTAAGTTTCCGTAAAGTAAAAGTAAAGCAAGCCAAAGAGCTAGTGCAGAAAGCAAGAAGTAGACTAGAAATGGAGCGAGGATGGGACGAAGAGCAGAACGAGCAAAAGGAAGGACAAGGACAAGCAAACGTAGGAAGCGGAGCAGCAGAACACCGGAGAAAGAAAAGGAACGGGGGAACGTGGCAACAAGCGACAAGCTACGCTACGTAAAGAGAATAGCCACCCCCCGCGCACGGCGACAGCCACAGTTGCGGGGGCTTCGTTTTGGTATCGTTTTGGGTATCGTTTTGAGCACTAGCAGGCTGCTACAACTGCGGCGTCCCCGGGCGAGAGAATGAGCAGCAGCACTGGGAAACAGACACAAGCGACATTTCACGCTAAAACAAGAGACGGATGGGCCAGCCCCGGCGCAAGGCGACAGCTGCAATTGTATGGGTTTCGTTTTGGCATCGTTTTGGGTATCGTTTGGACTGAGATGAAAACGATACCCCGAGCGATACCTGTGCAATTCCGAAACGATACCGCGGCTGGGGCCAACTGAGCTACCATTCCCGCGGCAGAGTTTGTAGCAAAACGTGAAAAACAAAATTCGCGGTCCGAAATTTGATTTTCGTTCCGGCATTACATTCGGAGCTACAAATCAACACATGAAGCACACATTGACTTTGACAGCCCAGCTGAAACATCGCAGCTTTTAAGTACTAGCAGAGTACGAGCTGTCCCAGCTCAAGCAGCACAACTTTTCAGTACTCGTGTAGTACAAGAGTAAAGCTTCATCCCATGATAACACATAACCTTCCGCGAAACTTCCGCTCGCCCTTCCGCGGCCTTCCGCGACCACAGCGCCGTAACACCGAATCTGCTTTCGTATTCAGTCCTTACAAAAAAAAACATAGGGGGTGTTGGTCGATCCTCAGTCATATTGAGTGCGCATGTTCCCCTCCAAGTTGCTGCAAGTTGCCTTGGGCATTCACAGGCATTCTCATGCGCTGCTGCTTTGTGATAGCTGAAGGATTCCCACAAAATGTCTGCAGGTGGCTCTACCCTGAACATCGGATATTGATTACAATCAATCTTCTGAGTACGTTTTAGATTGATTTGATTCCACCTGGAAATATTGAAATAATCAATATAGCCTGTATTGATGGTAAGTTGAAAAATATTGATGAAAATATTGATTAAAGTATTGATTCTCATACTGATTCTCATATTGATTCTCATATTGATTCTATAGTGATTCTCATATTGATATTCACATGTATCTTTACACTGATTCTGATTTGGACACCTATGTTGGCAGCATTAACTTTCCTTTTCTAAGCTGCGCCTCATTTGCTTGGCTGCTTTTCCTGCTAGCCTTTTCAGAAAATGGCTCAAGGTAGGGGTGGCGCGAGGCACTTTAGTAAGCCCTATGTAGACCCTGGCTTTTGTACGTAGCTTTGAGCAGCCACTGCGATCTTGTAAAAGATCTAGGGACCTATGAGCTCATCAGCAGAACCCAAGGGGTGGATCCGAAAGGACTTGTGAAAGTCTTAGACCTTGTGAAAGCACTTGTAAAAGTGGAAAGTAGCGCTGAGATCCACCCCCATGCCCTAAGGACAGCCATGATGAAAATCTTTACAGATGACCCCAGCATCAACAAAACCAAGTACACAGGACAAGTGTGGGTGAACCTTAAAGCTGAAAGGATCACTTGCATCCCTCACCATATTAGAAAACTGGTGAGGGATGGCAGCCAAAATTGCGCGGCTAAACTCACCGGCGCTGAAGCCATTTCCTTGCAGCAAGTTCTGGCTCAGGTGTCCCTCAAGCCAGCCCAGCCTGATCAGGAGGCTGAGGCAAACCCACTGGTGCCTCAGCCTCCCACCCCTCAACAGCTTGAAAAAGCAAGTGGGGAAGACAATGCCACAACAGCTTCCCAGCTTGAAGCAGCTTTGGATCAGGAGCTTAAAGCGACCCAGCCAGAAAAAGAAAGAACCTTGAAAAAGGAAATCAGCGATGTGTCCCTGGATTCTGCTGGGTTCCCCAAGCTCCTCGCAACACCCCCTCATGAAAAGGCTTTGGAAAAAGCTCAGGCTGACAACAGTCTTGTCCAGCCTACTTTCTTGAGAAGAAGGCTGGGGTCCAAGACCAAGCTTGAGTTCACCCCTCAGCCAACAACACTAGCTTCTTTGAGAGGGAAGCTCGGGTATTCTGACCCTAAGGGGCCAGCAAATAAAAAGAACAAAGCTTTGAGAAAAGCAAAGTCCGTTAAGAAGCTCAGCACATTGAAAAAAACAGCACAAACAAGCACAAGCCTACAACTGATGAGCAGGGCCAATCCTTGGAAAAGGGTGCTGGCCAGGCTTTTGCAAAAACGCCAGCAAAGCGCAACAAGACCTTGAAAAAGGACAGAGATGCTGCCAGCTCAAGTGGCCTTGCAGAAGGACAGCCTTGGGTGACGCTCAGAAAAACGAAAGCCGGAGCTACATCACAGGCACAAAAGATCCAAGCTCGAAAAAACTTTCCTTGATTGTGTGACTTGTAAAAGGACCAAGCAATATCTGAAAGTCATTGACCTGATCCTCATGTCCTTGATAAAAGGACCACCTCAGCAAGGACCAAGCCCTGGAGCTGAGGGAGAAGCTGTGCAGCGAGCACCCTTGAAAGTCCTTGAAAAAGGACCACTTCAGCAAGGCACAAGCCCTTGAGCTGAAGGAGCAGCTCTTGGAAAAGAGCGTCCTGGGCGCGACTGGACCTGCAGTGAAAAAGGGAGAAAAAGCATGTGAGTTGAGACACATTAATGTTCCTTGTTTCAAAAAAGGCAACCCTTTGCCCCGTCAATAGGAGTGTGGTTTGTGGTAAATGGGAAAGATAGGGAGGGTTTCAAAAGCATGCTTCCCCAAACATGCCCTTATACATGGTAAACTAAAAAAAGCACGTTTCCCCAAACATGCCCTTTTACATGGTAAAATGTAATTACAAGGGCTATTTCTTTTTTGGGTTTAGTGTGGGCGACCCCCCCGCTTGCAGCCAAGGTTCGCCACCGCCGCAGCCTTTTTTGCTCAAGTTTTTTTTCCGCCCCTTCCGGCCCGGCTTTGCCCTTGAAAAAGGGAGATGCCTTGGATCTGGAAGAACTACCCCTGCAACAGGCAGGGGAGACCCGAGGGCTCAGGGACAACCTCCCGAGCCAGACAGGCTAGGAGGGAGTCCCTGCAGCCCAAGGAGGAGGAGAAGAAGGAGAACCCTTGCAAAAGGGAGAAAAGCGATGAGCACCCGTACCCTTGCAAAAGGATTGGGAGCCTGCCAGCCCTTGCAAAAGGCTGGCAGGACACCTCTGAGGGCTGGCAGGACACCCCTGCGGGCTCACAGGGGTGGCGAAGCCACGCGAAGGCCTTCCTAGGATCGCGGGGGCTGGGGCCCAAGTTGGGACGGCCCTTGGAAAAGGGAGGAGGCTTGGTTTTCATGGGAGGATCCACGCCCTGGGACGGCTGGAGGGGGGAGCAGTGGTGGGGGGAGTGGAGGGATAAGGGCTCTGCGTCCTATGATGAGGAAGAGGGGAAGCCTGCCAAGCCTTGCAAAAGGAAGAAAAAGCATAAGGGCAACAAGGAGGCTGAGTCCAAAGAGGACAACCCCGCCCCCCCTCCCCCACTCCCTCCCCGGCCTCTGCCCGCGACCCCTCCAAAAAAAAATTGCGGACAAGGCGCAGAAGTGGGAGAGGGACTGGGGGGTTCAGAGGAGCCCACTTTGGAAAAAGTGAAGAAGGAGCCCCTAAGCCCACCAGCCCCGCTTGCCCTACTGGTGGGAAGGCTTCTGAAGAAGAAGGGCAGGATGGGGGGGGTGGGGATGAGGAGAAGGGAAGGAGGTAAAGGAGGAGGGCTGAGCCAAGCAAAGCAAAAACTCTTGAAAAAGAGGGGGCTGCATCCACACATTGTGGGTGGCACAAACTCTTGAAAAGAGTGGGCTGCTTCGCATTATGCCCACCCATTTTGGGTGGCACAAACTCTTGAAAAAGAGTGGGCTGCAAAACATCCACACATTTCTTGGTGGTTTGGCCAAACCCTTGAAAAAGAGGTTTTTTGTACAATAGGCACCTCAATAGAAGGTGCAGCGACCAGGCCTCTGGCCGGAAAAAAGCAGCAGAGTTGGGCAGGGATGGTTGAAAGAAAAGGGTTGGGAAGGTTGGGTGAGAGGTTTAGGATTTACCTTTTGGTAGGGCTAGTATACACATGGTTTGGGGTAACACGGTTATAGTATGGAGCGGGGAAAAGAATCCACTAATTAGTTGGGGGGTGCAGATTAATTCGGTTCCACCAAAATTTGTTGAGCATTTGTCATTTAATTTTTGTGGGCTGAGGCGAGGCATGAGGGAAGGCAGGGAACCAGGCATTTGATGGGTTTAGGTTTGCGAGGCCAGGAGTTATGTGTCATTTATGTTTTGGACATCTAGTAGTCTTAGACACACTTTGCAAAAGCAAACCCACTTGGGGCTTAACATTCTTAAGCGCGCTACATTTAGCTGCCAGGTGCAAACATTACATACCTAAACAGGGTTTGCAAAACTGATGGGCTCAATACAACCCAATATATTCAACAACTAACAGGGGAGCCACCCCAGCCAAACCCACCTGAGGGCTCATACCAAACTTGGTTTGATGAACAAATATATTCCAATTAGTGATTCAATCAGTTTGCTTAAGATTTTGGAAAACCATACCCAAAACCGGACCACCTGATCAAACCTGATCAAACCTGATCAAACCTGATCAAGTCTGATCAAATCTGATCAACAGCATGAATTGATAAGATTTGATAAGATTTGATCATATTTGATCAGATTTGATCAGATTTGATCAGACTTGATCAGGTTTGATCAGATTTGATCAGATTTGATCAGATTTGATCATGTGTGTGATTTGCTTAGCATTTTCTGGCTCAAGCCAAAACCGTGATTTCTTGTGGCTGTCATGGCACCCAAGAAAAAGAAAGCTATGAAAAAAAAGGCGCTGTTCTGAAAAGACCATCCTTGAAAAAGGAAGACTTGGACAAGTTAGGCACCGCAAGCCTGGCAGAAAAAAATCAGAAGGCAACTGAAAACAATGAGACTCCAGAGGAGGCAGCAGCAGACTTGAAAAAGTCCCTCAGCAAGGTTGCGCACAGCAGGGTTTGGGGCCAGCACCAAACATGGTTGAGAAACCATCCAGAGGAGGCATCTGCATTGCAAAATGCAACAAAAAAGGAAAAAGGGCTTGCTGCTGCCCAGTGGCTCCTCAACAGAGAGAGCAAAAAACAATTGCCGTGCCAGCCAAACCGTTTCTAGTGAAAATTCAGCCTTGAAAAAGGATAGATGGTGCAGCGAAAGGGAAATGCTGGTGAGGTTTGATGAGGATGAGCTAGAGAAGCACTTGAACTCAGGGAGGGTGATTTGGCGAAATGATCCCCTCACCCCAGAGGTATGGCAGCACAAGGATTTGAATGACACCGAGAGACTTGCAAAAGTTGGAAAAGGCCTTAACTTCACCAAGGGTGCCGAATTTGATCCAGATGAAGTTGACGATGATGCGTTTGGGTTCCTCTTTGACAAAGATTTGGAGGGGCTCCTTGCAGACAACCTTATCCAGCCTAGCAAAGGCAAAGGAAAAGGAAAAGGCCTTGGCAAAAGCAAAAAAGCGAAAAAAGACCCTCTACCCATTGAAGATGCCAGAAGTGAAGATGAACTGATGGAAGAAGCTTTGGGAAAAGCTAGAAAGTGCCGGGATGCTTTGGTGTCTGGTGTGTGCCATGTGGAGGAGGCTATGGGGGAAGCCAGAGCCAGCCAAGGTTTGGACAAATCCTTGAAAAAGGACACCGACTTGCTAATTGCAAGCATGAAAAGCATGGCAGATAAGCTAAAGTCTGTAATCTTGAAAAAGAAAACAACCTTGGAAGATTGCAAAGGTTTAGTGGTTGATGCAGCCAAACAAATCAAGCAAGGGAGGGAACAAATTAAAGAATTGAACCAGGCTGCCAACAAGACTGCATCCAAAGCCTCACAAGCCTCCAGCTCAAAAAGGAAAGGTGAGCGAACACACGAAACTGACTTTGAAAAAGCCTTGCCAGGAGAGCAGCCCCTATACAAAGGATAGGTTTCACTTTTAGCTAGCCAAAGAGCATTGGCAATGCTTTGCGAGAAAAAATGTAATCTAATATAATAAATAATACACAAAAGCAATTTGCAATGACATATGAGTATACCAACCACAGAATAATCCGCAATATAAGCATATCGAATTTGTGAATACCAGAGCCTATAAGAAAATGCCGACATTTAAATTGCAAGATTTGTTTTGCACCATTTTGCAAAATAAAACCAGCAGTGTTTTCACACTTTTATATTCTTGGAACAAGACCACCAAGATGGTCCTTAATTGGCTTAAGGCGGTGATAGAAGTTTAGCTTTTGCCTAGCGTCATTCGCATTATATATATATATATTACATGCCTCAGCCATTTCGGCTAAGAGTTTTTGAAGTTTTACAATGCAAAGCAAGCTGCCTTGAAAAAGGTTCTTTTGGACCTTAAGAAAACTTTGGCTTTCCGGCAAAAACTAAAGCTAGACATGTCAAAAAGGATACGGGGCTGGAACTTGGAGCTTGAAAAAGCTGACTCCCTGCCAGCTCCACAAGGCAATATTGGCCCTGCTAAGGAAGAAAGCTCCTTGGCTTCAGGCCTCCTTGCTTTGTGGTCACATGGCAAAATCTCAGCTATCACTGCCAGGTGGCTGGCCCACCAGGCTCTTTTAGATGGGGCCCAGCACGAAGAATTGGTTAGGCTTGCAAAAGCGGGGAACTTTGGCGCCCAGCCAGGAAATTGTCATAGAGACATCATGGCATCGTTCTGCAATGATGTCAGCATATGTGAGCCACATGAAGTTGAAGTGCGTGTCACCACCCCAAGACTTCCAAGGAAGAACCTGGCTCAGCATCTTTGCTTTTGCCTCACATGATGTTCCACCACCTGGCCATGTACTACCCCTCCAAGTTTGCTACCGCATTCAGCTTGGAAAAGCTGGAGCCTTTTTTGGCGTGCAGTAGAAGCGACAGGGGATGACAGGTTAGTGGACCATCCCATGGCAGCTGCCAACGATTGGAAAAAACACACCATACCCCTGTTTGTGCACGGGGATGGTGTTGAGTTCCAATCTCGGGACACCCTGCTCGTGTGGTCCTGGGGCGGGCTCAACACTTTTTGGAACCTCGTTGGCATCGCACTTACTGATGGCAGCCTTTCCAAAGGCCTCCACCTGGGTGCCCTTGATGAAGTGGCTGGCATGGAGCTTCCAGGCCCTTGCCAAAGGGGTTCACCCAAAAAGTGGGCCTGATGGGGAGCCCTTGGCAAAGGGCAGCCTGCAAGGCCAGCCCTTGTCGCCAGGCAAGTTCAAGGGTGTGCTCTGGAGCTTGCAAGGAGACCATGAGTTTTTCTCCAACGTAATGCATTTGCCCCATTGGAGCAACTTGCACCCATGCTGGGAGTGCGATTGCACCAAGAGCAGCGATGTGCCCAGCAAGTGCTATAAGACCTTGGAGGTTGACAGTCAAAGCTTTGTTTATGTGGATAGCAAAGCTGCCAAGGTCAACCCCAGGTCTGACCATCCTATGTTCACCTTGCCTGGTGTTACCACTAGGATGGTCAGAGGAGATGGGCTTCACATCCTCTTCACAAAAGGAGTTTATGCCCATCTCCTGGGGTCAATCCTGCACTACATGTGCTGGTACGACCGCGTGGGGAGGCCACAGGCCAAGCCGCCTTTTGAAAGGCTTGCATATATCTTCAGCGAAGTGCAGCAGCAATACAAGCGTCAGGAAAGCCGCTGCAGGCTAACCAACCTGAGGCTCAGCATGTTCACCCAGCCTAAACGGCCACATGCTTCATGGGCTTCTCTGGACGCCAAAGGCGCTGAGTGCAAGCACTTGGCCCCTGCCCTCTTGCCTATTTGCAAAGCTTGCCTTGACAAAGGCAAACCTCAAGACCAGCAAATGATCACAGCCTTGGAAGCCATGTGCTCCTTGGTCGAACTCTTTGACGCAGCTGATATGTTCCTCACTGCGTCCAGAGTTCGAGCGTGCTTGGAGTCTTGCAAAAGACTTTCTGGCGTCGTACTCTTGGCTAAACAGTTGGGCCAAGGATGCTGAAAGATCGCTCTTCCACATAGTGGTGAAGCACCACACCTTTCAGCATCTAGTGCTGAATGCCCGCCACCTTAACCCAAGGTGCCATTGGAATTTCAAAAGTGAGGATTTTGTCGGGCAGGTGAGCAAGCTGACCCATTCCATTTCCATGGGCGTCAGTTCACCTAAGCTGTCCTCTAAGCTCATGCCAAAATACCGCATCCTCTTTCACCTTCTCCTGCACCGGCAGGGGATGTCGCTCGCACAAAAAGAGATTGAGTAAAAGCTGTGAAATATTTACAAAATCATTCGTCTGAGTTGCATTTTTTGATTTTTTGCAGGCGCCTATATTGATTTCTATATTGATTTCTAAATTGATTATATTGATTTGGTTTGGTACAATTTTGCATTGAAATATTGATAGGCAATGCCACTTCAAAATATTGATTTCAAGAATCAATATTTTCAATCTGAAATATTGAATACACATGGGAATCAATACAAAAAACCCATATTGATTGTAATCAATATCCGATGTTCAGGGTAACGCACTTGGACAGAAACCAACTAATCGGGTGTGGCCTCAGTATGTTTAAACTGGGGCGACAAATCCCTTGCAAACGGTGCGCCCATCCATTCCCACCCATTCCCGGAAGCGCTCACATCTTGCCAGCTCTCCTTCAGGAGATCGGCAGCTCGCGGTTTGCCAACGAGCAAGCACATCAGTTCGACCCATCCTCAAGCGTCCGATTCGCTTCAAGTGGGCGCGCTGTTTGTGTGAAAAGCCATGGCCCCTTTGTCAGAGATGGACCTGATCAAGCGGATCGTGGGCTGCTGAGGGGTTCGTGTGGTGGAAAATTCCAAGCGATCATTGCAGTCTTCATACAATACACTCCCCTCCATATGGCCCATCGCCACTATGCGCGCCAACTCTGTCTCGTGTTGCATCATCAAGTGAAAAAAACAGTGCTGGCTCATTCACACCAACTTGGACATCTGCAAAAATGCATTCATGAAAGGAACTGCTCCGATTCCGTGAGCCCCAGCGGAGTTCAACCTGTGTCAACATTGCAAAGCTTACTCGAAGAAGCCTTCTCGAGGTAAGGATTCTCCCACCGACTTCAGGAAAATGGCCTCGAGTTGGACCCGCTTGTCCTGGGCCACGCGTGGCCGGTGATTGCATCACACGGCCGTTTTGGCAGCAATACAAATGCATGAACGAAAAAACAAACAAACGGAATTAATAAAATTGGGGAACATGAGTCATAAACCCCCCACTCCTCAACAAGGCTTTGGAAACTCGGATTTCGGATGAATTTGAAGGGCCAGGCGGCCCCTCAGATTAGTCTGCACCTGGCCAGTCCTCTCCAGTCCTTTCCTGTGGACCCCTGTGCGGCCAATAGGACTGCAATAGGAAAGTCAACAAAGTTTGTATTTTTTAGGCTGGAGAGGTCCAGGAATATCAGATGGGGTGTTGTGTTATTGGGGGGGGGCAGCAGCCTTGAAGGCGGGAGTACCCTTTTTGTCAAACCTTGTTGTTTAAACAAACTGCAATACAACATTTGCTGTTTCCTGCTAGCCTAGTTTGTTGTTTCTGGAATGGCAACCCTTTAGACTACGAAAGGAGCTAGCTGTATTTCTTCCTTGTTTTGGGCCGGAAAAGGAACGTTTTTTATGAGAGGGGGGTTTTGAGAGGTGCACCAACAAATTAAGAGGGGCTAATCATGCGCCCACATAACGAATGAATGAACAAATTAACGAATGAACGAACAAATGAATGAATGAATGAATGAATGAATGAATGAATGAAGGAAGGAAGGAAGGAAGCAAGGAAGCAAGGAAGCAAGGAAGCAAGGAAGCAAGGAAGCAAGGAAGCAAGGAAGCAAGGAGGCAAGGAGGCAAGGAGGCAAGGAAGGAAGGAAGGAAGGAAGGAAGGAAGGAAGGAAGGAAGGAAGGAATGAAGGAATGCAAACAAGCAACCGATTTGATACATGAATACACAAACGAGGATACTGGGGGAGTGAAAGAGTGGTTTGGCGAATGGCATCAGCCTGGACATTCCAACGAAATGGCCGCACAACGCCCGCAAACAACACGCACAAAATACCAAAATCGCCAACAGCGCCTGAAATCGTGAAGCGCCCGGGAAAAAGTACGCAAAGGAATATCCAGGACATGAAATAACGCATGACCGAATCAAGGAGCGATCGAATTCATTGGAAAACGAGTCATGAATACCTGAACGAAACCATGAATGCATCACACAAGCAGTGCACAGGCGCATAAACAAATGAATGCTTGCCTGACTGACTGACTGACTGAATGACTGACTAGCTGGCTGATTGGCTGGCTGGCTGACCGACCGACTGACTCACTGACTGACTGACTCACTGAGTGGTTGATTGATTGATTGATTGATTGGTTGTTTGATTGATTGATTGATTGGTTGGTTGGTTGGTTGGTTGGTTGCTTGCTTGCTTGCTTGATTGATTGACTGACTGACTGACTGACTGATTGATTGATTGATTGATTGATTGATTGATTGATTGATTCATTCATTGATTGATTGATTGAGTTGATAATTGCTTGGTTGGTTGGTTGGCTGGTTGGGCGATCGATTGGTTCATTCGGAACCCCGTCCAGGTGTGTCCGAGGGTTCAATCACCGACCTACAACCAACCTTCGCACAGACCAGCTTTACGCCGGAAGCAAGAGTGACCCGCCTGCACGTTTTGCTCACTGGCATATAGAGTCAAATGGCTTTGTTGGGTATTGCACAGCGATCTTAAACGAACGATGTGGCGGGCATTCCAGGCTACGAGTTTACGATGCCTGCAATGGACAATAATCATGCCAGCGCAGAAGAAGCGCGCAAAAACCATCCTACCTGAAGCATTGTTTCTGATAAAACCGCTGGTTGGCTGTTGGGTATCTGGCAGGAGCTGCGCCCAATATGCCTTTCACAGAACACGGGAGGCTTGAATAAATATATTCCTGAGCCCTCTGTGGCCGAGCTGCCACATCAGGACTCATGTCGTCAAGCCCTAAATCCCTGTCCTCGGTTGGATGTTTGACGTTTGCAGGTCGCTTTGGTTGCCTTCCTCCGTTCGCTTTTGGGTCCGCCACTTTTGGCCAACCAATCCAACGACACCCAGCCAGCTGATCCCGAAACGACGGCCCCGGCCGCTCCTGGGACGGTCGCGAGTGCGGCTCCTGGGCTCGAGGGCGCGGCTCGAGCAGAAATCCCCCATTGGTCTCAAACCTATCAGGAGTTGAATTACTTCACCAGGGTCCGGCTCTCCCAAAGCTGCGGAGTATGGTCCAGAACTTCCAAAGACTTCAAGAAGTGTTATGTCCAGCTGAAACGTTGCCCAAGCATCTCGAAATCCTTGCGAGTGGTTGAACGTGTAGTTGTCATCCACTTCAAAGCCATGACGGTGGTTGTCCATTCAGAAATCCAGCTCAATGGCGTGACTTCCTAAATTCTGGTTTCGGTTTCGGATTCAGTTTCCAACATCAACCTTTGTGACCTGCGTATGAATTATGTGCTTCATAACATGAGTTGGTTGGGAAGACCGACGAGGGCTTCGGTAAATAAACTGGCGCTTGCTGCCACGACAGATCTTTGCTGCCACACACAGACACACATACATCGATGCCGCTTTTGTGACTGGGCAGAGGGCAACGCAAAGGATTCCACCGTTGAACAGAAAGCTATCTGAATTCAGAAGCCAGAAGAAAAATGGCAGAATGTGGAACATACTCAAAGAATCAAAGAGTGAACATATGGAGCGTAATGAATGAATCAAAGAAGCCAGCCGACAGATGACTCATGGTTGAAGCATTGCCAACATCAGTTGCCAGACGCCGACTCTGCGCCGCGCATTCCGACACTGTGCCGACTCCCGACATGGCTCCAATGTTTAACCCACGAATGTCCCAGAAATCTGTGGGGCGTTGGCTGCTCCTCGCTTACTCAGATGCCCAGCCATGGAAAAAGAAGGGCACCTTTTGTTGTTGGTTGAGTTTAAAGGGGAACCCTTCCCAAAAAAAAGGAGAGAAAAAACACCACTGGGCAAGTGGGCTTACATGCTCCCTAGAAGGAAATGAATTGCTTCGCTTCAGAGCTGTCCTGCGACATGGTCAAAGTGAAGCTCCAGATGGTGATTGAGCAGACCTGGCATCGAGCTTCACCGTCTCCTACCTGCGATGAAATTCCTACAGTTGCCTGGTGAAGCCCTTGAACACTTACTCCCTTGCTTTCACCCTCAGCTTTCCAGCGATCCAGGTTGTGTCTGTTCATCTGCGGGCCTCCTGGTTCCTGAGTCACATATCCAAACAACGGATGATCCACGCAAAACAAGACCATTGACCCACGAAGTTATGCTGATTTCCAAATTATCAGCCGGCGCTCAGCACATTCCACGTCGCGCTTGGCCCGCCTTTGCGCTTCCACCGCGAGTCCCCGGATTCTCTGAGCACCGATGGCGGCAAACACATTCGCAACTGTTCATATGAAGCCATTTCGGTGATGTCATGGCGATGTTCAAGAGCAACACTCATCTCGCTGCTGGACGACGCCGGCAATTGTAGACACAGACACACGCACACACGCACACACATGCACACATGCACACATGCACACGCACACAGGCGTTCAGCTTCTGGTTTGTTGCTCAGCCATCTGAGCGCGGCGCCAGGCAGTGTGCCCTTTACAGGGTGCAGCCTGACAGCGTGCAACGTGCCGAGTTTGCACATGGACGGAGCTCTCGAGCTCTCGGCCCAGGCAAAGTAGATGGAACCTGACGGCTAGGGGTCCAAGGCCTTGCTTTCAGTTTGCCTCAACTATCCGGACTGTGGGCTCCTCCAGAGAACCATAGCAACGTCGGCAGTCCATGCTCGATGCTTGTTGGATTGATGACGCTCAGTGTGGCAAGCCACAAGCCGCTGGCAAGCCGGAAGCTGCCATTTGTTGCTTTCATTTGCTTTCTACTCGCTGCTTTCACTCATCTCTATCCAAGGGCTTAAACACAAGACTGTGAGGTAACTAGAGACTTCCAGGACCTCCAAGGGACGGCCTGAACAGGTACCTCACTGGTGCGGCGTGGCAACATGCAAAAGATTGGCTGGTGCTGGAATTTTGAGCCAAGAGACGTCATTTGTCAGGGATCGCCCCGTGCTGAAGCTTGATTCCTGCAGGTTGCTTTCAAGCAAGGTGAGATCGTGTACGTGCCTTTGTTGCACTTGAAAAGCCAAACCTAAATGACCAAATGGCCGAGCAACAGAAACAAACATATCATACCTACAAAAAGTGTCTGACCCCACAGCTACATAGCTCCTTACGACTGGGGTACTCGGCGAGGCTGAGACGGGCCTCGACATGCAGGCCATGGTGGAGATCGACAGACTTAACTGCCATTGGTGCAGGCTGTTGCGCCCACTGAAAACCAAAAAAAAAAAAGGAAATCGCTCCGCTGCTAAGGCCACCTTCCGTCACATGTAAAGGCAAACCAACATGGAACCAACATTGACATTGGGTTCCCTCCCAGCTTCCTAGGGGTCCATGTCTCACAGTTTGGAACTGTTCAGGGCTTTGAAAATCAAGTGTTCCCCTTGCCAAGGGGCTTCCATTTGCGCCCTCCATTTTACGAGGCTGCAGTTGAATCCAATTGAATCGTCTCTCGACAGGATCGCCGTGCTCAATCTCAACAAGAGTTTTAAGGAATGGGTGCACCTAGGGCTTATGGCAGTCGCAAAATCTATAATCGCAGACATGAACCGCCTCAAAAGAGCGCGTACAGAAGACACCGCCAAACTGATAGCTCGATTTGGAGGTATGATGCATATCCACCGCCGGAAGGGCAGTGGAACGAGAGGCGGTGAGGATATAACGGAAACAACATGCAACACCAGATGGACCAAATCTCGACACTGACCCAACATCAACAAATTGTTGCATTGCAACACAACACTGGCATGCTGAGCTAGCCATGGTGTGGGCAGAAGTAGCTGGTTACGCGACTTCTTGGGCAGGGTGCCCTTCGCCCGGCCCGTGAATCATCAGACCAGCAGAAACCGGACCATTGACGGAGTCCTTACCTTTGACACACTCCCATGAGTGGTTCCCTGATGCATTGCGCCGTTCTCGAACATGCACGAAGCGACAACTTGCTGGCTGCGAAGGACTTACTGTCACTCTCTGTAAGAGGGTTCTAATTTTCGGGCTTCGATTGGTGGCAACGGTGAAATACCTTTGAATCAATTTGATTGAACTAGCCCCTTTTGGGATTGGCCGGCCCCATTTCGGGGAACCCTCAACAATTGTAACATAGGATGACTGGCAGCCTTGATTATACCCCGCAAATAAAGGGCCTGTAATCTTGGCTTTTGCGGATAGCCAGGGATATCACTTACGAAAGGTGACCACACCTGTTAGCTCACAGGCCAGGCAGCCAACCCAGCGGAATCAGGCTACATGCTGCAAGCTCGAGGTCGATGCAAAAAGCTAAAGTTGACAATTGCTTACCTGAGTTCCCCTTGAACACTTTTACAGCTAGGCTTGCTACTCTTGCCCGTTTAATATGGTCACCTATCAAAATCAATGATATTCCAACCTCTCTCAATTCACAAATGCACCAAACAGTGTCATTTGTACGCGCACACACACACAAAATCTTCCAGTACTAAAATGGAATCCGGACATTCACCCGAAACCAAAACTCCAGGCACCCATGGGAAGGCATTCTGGCCATTTGACTTCTGTGGACAAAGGCGCATATTTTCTCAAGGCAACCCAGGGAACATGGTGAATGCACCCTCCGCGCTTTTGCTTTTGCTTTGCTGGAAACACCCCAGCCCAGCCCTGTGGGAATTTAATGGGATGTATCAACACCATAAGGTGAATTGTTTAATTCCACAAGACCTCCAGAGGATTTCTATGGGAAAAAGGAACCCTTTTGCTGGTAGTTGAATTTAAAAGGGGCGTAGCCTTCTTGGTGTCTGGATCCAGGTTCGAGGAGAATCTACGAACCCCCCCCCCCGCCCCGGGCCTGCGTGTCGATCAGCGTGCTGCAAGGTCCATGGGAGCGGGTGAGGTAAGTCGTGACGGCAAAGCGACATGGAGGCTTGTTCACCTGCTTAGGATCTCTATGAAATACATAGCCAGTCTCAAAATACTTCTGGGGGAGTTTTGGGGGATTATATTTTGAGCACGCAAAAGGACATCAACGTGTCTCACAGAGTTCAACCGTTTCTTTTTAAGATTTGCCCAACGCGTAGCTGAGTTGAGCATCTTTGCCGCCTTGGAGGGAGCTAGGCTTGGAAGATTGCGCTTGGATTGTTCAGGGTCAAGCTGCGGCCTGTGTCACCGGTGAACTAGGAAGCTGGAAGCTTGCTGTCCTGACGACGGCATGACGGAGTATCCCCTGAATGTTTGAAAGGCAGGCTTAGACCGAGTGCAAGAAAATAATTGGGGTACTTTTCAAACATAGGAAGCATTTGGGCCCCCAATCGCTGGTTTCTTTTGCGCATAGAACAGCCCGCCGCCCCCACGAAACTGTCCAAGTCTAAGTCATATTCATATCAGCGCGCTGGAAGGTTGTCCCATGTAGCCTTCAACAAAACCCATGCACCGAGCCGATGAATAGACATAATTTTTGTTAAAAAAAATAATTATTGAATATAATAAGCTTAATATATTTAAATAATATTATAAGTATAGTAGGATTAATAATCTAAATTTTATTAAAAATTAACATAATAAAATATAGATTAATAATTAATAAACAAATAATAAATATACATATTTGTTATATATTGTATATTCAAAAATGGAAAAGTATTCATATTTTAACAATTTAAATTTATAAATATTATAATCAAATTTATAATATTATATCCTATCAAAATTAATAAACCATAAATATCTTATTATATTCAAAATTTCTTTATAACAAAACAACTCAAAACCTTCCTTCCCAAATAACCAACCTCAACACCAACAAGAAAATCACCATATACAAAAAAACCAACCTGTATATCATAACCAATCACCAAACCAACACCAAAACCAAGCATAACCATAAAATACCAACATAAAAGGTAAAATACAATATCAAAATAAACAAAAAACAATGAACATTGCTTCCTTTTTTATCATCTCCTAATATAAAATCAATATTTAATTAATAAATATGCCGAATTTATCAAAAGCCCAACATAATCTAACTCCCCGATTAGCAATTCCTTCTAACGTTCCCAAAAAATCCCCAAATCCAGTAATAATCAAAAAATACGATCATACCAACAAGAAAATTACACTCTCAATATTTTCTCGAATTTACCAAAAACCCAAACAAAATCCCAAAAATCTTGTTCCCCCAAATTAGCATGTTCGTATTTATCATAATATCAACAAACAACATTGTTGTTAATACTCTCTCTCTCTCTGCCGTTGCGTCCAGAGGGTCTTGACTCAGCAAGGCAACAAAAAAGGCGCCCACTCATATTCAGGGGCACCCAAAACATAGCAGGATAGCCAGGGCAGACATCAAGTAGGAGCCACCAGGATTCCACCTCGGCCTACCGTCATCCTCCGCCTCCAGGCATCCGGACATGGTGACACTTCAACGACAACGCACCTTCGAGCAACTTCCGCACAGGGCACTCGTCAGAAACAGACACGCGAAACGACGAGGAGCCACACAACAAAATTAGCACATGAAACGTTCTCCCCCAAATGTGTTGCAAAATGCAATCCAACATATCTTACAAAGTGACATGCGCCAACTGCCCAGCAGTCCACTGCTCCCACCCGCAAGTTCTGCTCAGACGCGCAACCACCACATGCTCCTCCCAGCACACTGCAAGCCAAATCTCCCCGCCATTGAAGAGGCCCTGCACATCCCTCCACCTCGTACCCAAATAGGCCGCCGCATTGGGAACCGACACAACATTGGCGTCCAGGGAAAGAGTACACCCATAGTGCGCAAGCCATTCGGGTTTCAGAGACTGCCAGTACACGCGTCATGGGGAATGCTTTGCTTCGCCAGGAAAGTCAACAGAGTTTTGTGCCCCACATTCTGGGGCCCACGTCGCAATCCTCTGGCTCCATTCACCCTATGAGACGAGCGAAAAGAAAGCAAAGCTCCCAACAGCAAATCATCACACGGTCGCTGGAAAACATGCCCAGCCCAATCCCAAATACATGATGCCAGCAACTCATCCCAGGTCTGCATACACACGCGAACCCACAATTTCACTGCATGCCGGGCAAGCGGGATTCCATCAGGGCTTGGGTTGCTCCAGTGAACCGTGACGCGAAGCAGCCAACTCAGCAGCTTGTGGAAAGTGGGCCGCGTAGGCCGCAAAATGCACAGGAGCCACGGAATAGACGCCGTCACCAACGAAGAGAACATCTTCAACTTCGAACTTCTGTCAACCTGAGCATGCTTCAAAAGGACTGAGTGGGACATAAAGGCCACCAATGCTCGGTGCAGCAGCCGTGCAACCTGGTGGTCATCGTCAGCAGAGAGCTTCAACTTGGTTCCCACAAACATTGCCTCCTGCGCCAACTTCAAATTGCCAGCTTCAAGTACGCAGCCTGGCACCGACAGACTCAGAACACAGGTTTTCTGAACATTACAAGTTCTGCAGCATGCGGGGCGTAAGGCGGCGGTACTGCAAAGGCGTTGCAAAGAACGCAGTTGCACAAACCACAAGCCCCACAATGTGCTGTTGATGGTCACAAAAGGGGCCTGCTCCCCATTGGCCTCCCAAAAGCCCAATAGCTGAACAAGGCAGGGGAATGCGACGCTCCTTGTTGCACACCCACCCTTTGCTGCACACACCATTCAACGTCCAAAAGATGGAATCGCAGCTCCGAGTGTGACAAAACATGAGCCAGCAACAAAATGGGATCGACCAGTATGGGGTGCCCACTTGCGCTTCATCCACTGCAAAACGGAAACGACGTTGAGACTGTCATAGGCCCCAGATATATCCAGCTTGACTGCCACAACGGGAGCTCCAACATGACTTACCTCCTGCAAGGCAACATTGGCCAGGTAAGCAGCATCCGCAACTCCACGCCCTTTAGCAGCACCAAAGCAACACTTGGGTGTCTACCACATCTTCAGCAATCGGCACACATCAAGTTTCGTGAGGAGTTTCAAGAAGACCTCCCCTAACACAATGGGTCTCAAGAGCGTGGCGTTCTTGACAAGAGCTGCCTTGGGCAGCAGAATCACCCACCCGACAAGGAGCCCAGTGGTGTTGAGGAACTCTGGAAGAGACAAAATTCCATCCATGCCTGAGGAATGCAGTGCCACTTGTTGAAGCAGTTCCACTGACACCTTGCCCCTTCTCATCTGACTCAAACAAGAGCGCACCTCCTCTGCCTGAAAAATCGAGTCACCGGTTTCCATGCCATTGAACAGCTCAAGCACCTCATTGACATGGTCATGCTCAAACTTGCGCCGACAATGCTGCTCGACTTCTGCCACAACTTGAGTCCTGGAGCCGTGACATGCGACTAGCATAGGCCAAAGCGCCGAGGACAGCGACTGACGTCTTTGCAACATCCTTCGCGCTTGCCAATTTCCACCCGCAGCTTGGCGAACCAAGATTTGCTGCCATGCATTCTTAGCCACTCGCCGGGCTTCGCAGACCGCCTGGGAAAGTCTCAAGCGCTGATCTTTGTCAAAACACACAGATCTGTCCCGACACATCTGCTTTGCCTCTGGAGGGTCCACATAACGCATAGACTGTACCGGCGCACAAGCATCAGCCGATAGCCCAGCGCTCGCAGTCGACAATGCACCGAGCCCGCAGTTCTGTCCTGTCTAGCCCAGGTGGCTACAACATCGGCTTTCGCTACTCTCATCTTTCTCGGAATTCCGCTCCACATAGTTCTCCGGACTGGAACCAAGAAATCACATTGCACACACGCATGGTCAACCCGCAAGAGGTCCTTCAAGTCACTTCTGACAGAATACGTTTTTCATGGGCAGTCATCATCCATGCTACCAGCACCAGCAGTAACCGATGCGCAAAAGGATTGATTGCAAGAAATATAATCTATGGGTCTTCTCCGCCACGTGGGGTGGGCACCCGAAGACAACAGGGTAGTCCCAAGACAAACTAGCAAGGAGCAGACAGCAATGCCTCTCTCAGACCCATGATCGTCTCTGTGCAAATCAAAATTGACATCCCCCATGAGACAACAGGCACTCCTTTGGCAAGAAGGATACTCGTTCCTCCAGAAATACTTTCACACGCTGTCAACAAATCCAACAACGGCCGACCCGAATGAGGAAGATGCGCATTGATAACCACGAACTCCTTTCCAAGCAACCGGAGCTGGAGCGCCATGTGGCTATAGCCAATCGAACATCTGACAATTTCCACATCCCACTCCTCTTCAATACAGATTGCAAGTTGGCGGTGACATCCAATCCGCTTGCAGGATAGCACCACAAAGCCATGCATGACCTGGCATTTGAGGTCAGTCGGCTGCCCCACAGTCGAGCCATCACTCCCTTGAGACCGCTCTCCTGCAGAGCAACCAGATGTGCATCGTTCCCAGTGTCATCAAAGAGCTGGAGAACCCTCTCCCATGGCTTGCCTTGGACCAGCAAGCCAGCTGTACCAAATAATATGAATTCCCATGCAAAGGACCTTCTGTTGCTTGCCTTCAAGAGAAATGGGAGTTCCAAAGAATCTCCACATCTTGCACTGTCCTAGCGGAGCACTTGGAAATCTCAAGAAGGTCCGCTTTGCGCATCCTGAACAAGCACTTTCTCCTGCGTGGCCACCTTCCCGTCCCAGCATCTGCGCACCACCTTGCACTCTCCCAAAAACATCTTCGCATGAGCCCAGGATGAAACAACCAGGTCTGCACGTTGGATACCCAACTTGTCACCCAAGAACCCTGTAAGTCTGGCCACCGCCTTGCTCACTTGTCTCATGGCAGGGGTTTTATCCATAGTGCACCACAAAAGAGCTGGGAGCGCTGCCTTCAAAGCATCCCTGAATTCGATCTGCTTGCGGCGCTTCTCGGATGTGAGAATACTACCTTGAAAGTTGAGGACCGCCTTGCCAGCTGTTGGGCGCTTTCCGAACAACGTCAACTCAAGCACCTTCTCCTCCAGCTTTGCTTCCTTCAGGATAGCCATCAGATCACCCAAAACCTTCCTTCCATCCACCCAAGAAGATGTCGAACGACCCTTCTTCAACAGGAGGAACTGCTCTGAAACTGTCACTCAATCCTGGCGAGACCGGGGACGTCGGCCTCGATTCATTGAAGGGAGACAATTTCAGCCTGCAGGGCATCCATCCTACTAGAGCTGGCTTCCTTGAACTCCTGCATCTCTGCCCACATCTTCTCAGTCTTCTCTTCCATGCCCTGCATCTTTTCCGAATTTGCCATCTGTCCCTGCTTCAAGTCCAGCAAAGTCTTGGATACCGGGGCAAGGTGAGCACTTATGGATGATGCAACTGCCTCCTGGGTTGCTGAGTTGCAGTTGCCTAGGCCGTTTGGAAGGACTTTCATCTTCACCAACATCCAACTCGGTGAAGGGAACAATCTGTTGATTCTCATCCATCAGGAAATCGGTGAAAACCCTAAGGCAAGAAACTCCACCCTACTGGCAACTTGGCTTTGAGCCGCAATTGTTAATACTAATTCTTATCATTCTATCACATGTTTATATTTCTATATATATCCGACAAAGTTATGTATAGCCGTGTATATATATATATATATATGTATAGATATATACATATATGTGCACATATATAAATTAACGATGTGTATCCTGTCAAAATATAAATATAATCGCTTCCAACAAGCAAATAATATCAAATATTCTTTATCAATGCTATATTTCTGCTAAGCACGTGTTATCCAATATTTTGTTAGAATTGGTGCTCATGAATCCCTTAGCCATTCGTGAAACAATTCCAAATTTGCTTGCCACACACAATGCCTGCCCAACAAGAAAGAGTGAGGAGTGTAGGCACACACACATGGTCGCAAGTGGGACCAATCTAAGCAGCTGAGAAGGGATCTTTCCAAGGAAGGGGCTCCCAAGGGCCGTTGCCAGCGAACATCTTGCTAGTGGGTGAGGAGTCTTGAAGCGCAGCTTGAACATCAATTCAGATCTTGCGGGGCTGGGCAACGACCTGCTAAAACCTTTCTGTTCCGTCGGAAAACTCTGCTGCCTCGAGTGAACTCATCGGCTCGTACTTTGGCGCCCTTTCTCACGGCGAGAAGCGCCGACCCAGGCTGCGTAAGCGCTGCTCACAAATGCGTCCTTTGGTCATGGAAGCCGGGGCCAACGTCGGTTGCAATGGCCATGGAACAAGAAGGGCACATGTTTTCGGCTCACGCGAAAGGGATCACCCATCCAAGCAAGCAAGGGATTCGCTCCGAATACTTTGAACATCCGGACAAGGCGCCACCCTGTGAACCCGGCTGGCCATTGAGATGATTTCCGCTCCTTACAGGGACCCCCAGTCTAAAGGTCATACATGAGTGTGCGTGCTTGCAAGGAGACTCTTTCTTGGCTTGTCTTGACGGGGCAAAGAAATTCGGCGCTTTGACCGTGGCAAAGGCCAAGCAGGACATGTTTCTTTTTTTTAATATATATATATATATATGTATGAAACCAAAAGGGACCTGACCCATGTTGCAGCGTTTCACCCCTCACTTCCTGAGCCGATTGGCTAGAAAAAGCAAACCCACCTGAGTTCCCAATGCGCGTAGGATGCGCTAGAAGTGAGCTCGGCCAGGGCTTGAAGGCCAAAATTAGCCACACTTGGCCCAGGTGATGCTGAAAGTCTAATCTTTGAACTCTAGGGAAGGCATACCTCCATTTGCTTAAGTCCCCTGGAAAAAAACTATTCTTAACAGTAGTGAAATCGATCCCCTTGAAACCAACAGGGGGAAACAAACATATTGTAAAACAAACCAACCGGGGAGAAAAAAATATATATATATATATTTATATATATTTATTATTACTATTATTTTTTATTATTATTATTGTTATTATTATTGAAAACAAAACACATATTCTTGAGTCACATCTCACTCCGAGGCCAAGGGGCGCTTCTGCTGCTCCGCCCGAAGCTGTTCTTCAGCCTGGCAGCTGAGGCTTCCCTTGCGCCTTTGGAGTGGGAGGGCTGTGGAGTGATGGAGTTGGTGGGTGGAGTCGCCTTTGCGTTTTTGAGGGTTCTCTCGCTTCCTCTCTGCCGTTGCGTTCGTTTCTTGACTCAGCAACAGCAGCGCTCCCCGAGAAGGGTGCCCCCTTCTTTGGTTCTCCCGAAGTGGACAGTAATGTGGTTTACTTACGGCTCCACTTGCGGCTTCTATGTTGGATGCAAACCGTAGGTTGCTAACAACTTGCTTACTTGGCCGAACGCCCAAGTAGGATCCAACGGGGTCCTACTGCAACCCCTGGCCCCCAGGTGCAACCGAGTGGTGCGCAATCCTAGCGTTCCAAGTGTCCTCCAAATTTTGGGCCTCAGCAAGGCGGGAAGTTCAGCTCTCATTTGGGGAAGGCGGAGAGGGAGGACCAGAAGAAGGGAACGGGAACTTGGGGAGAAGCGGCGAAGGGGCCACACAAAACCTATGCCCCCCCCCCAAAAAAAAAACGTGCTTGTTCTCTCTCCCTCTCTCTTTGTCCTCTGTTGCCAAGGCAACCATGTAACAATACTGAAACTACGCTTCTCGTAGCCCACAAATCTCAAAGAAGCAATGGAGCACTAAGACAAGAATGCCCATCAACTTCCTTCTGTCCGGCACAGATATTAATAACCTACAGCGCCAACCTGAAACTAGGTCCGGACCCAAGAAACCCTTGTAAGTCGCGACTCAGTTCAGACTAATCCTGACCTGGCAGCTTAGGCCCCAAAAGGGTTCACGATCATCACTGCCAACCTGAAGCGACCGACAAACAAGTTCTTGACCATGGCACAGAGCAGAAGCGGCAATGCCATCAGGGTTCCTAAGCATTCTTTAGAGCGCATCCGGCCCTTTTGGGTCGAACAAGGGCCCAGATTTCCCCAGCAAGCATCGCCCACCAAGCGAATCACAGGTAGCAAAGCTGCTGCTTGCAAAGGGTGCCCCTTCATCTGTGAAGTGTGCCAACACCTGAAAGAAAAAACAAGCCAAGCTCGCAAATTGTAGCAAAGGGTCCCACCCATTTTGGGGAGATCCAGCCAATTTAAAGAGACAAAGTCATATAAGACCGCCTCAGTTTAGCATCCTCTTGATCGAGCTAAGCCACTCGCCGTGTGGACAGCTCAGAAATCCATTTCGCACCAGCTAAGAAATCTGGAATAGTTTGATTCCCCTGCAAATGCCAACAAGCAATTTCGTGGTGCAGGATTTCGTCATGTTTCGTGCATCTGTAATGCGAAAAGACAAAATCCTGCAGGCCGACCCTACAATGTCCCAAGGCCAAAGCAGGAAAACACTACACTAGCCTCCCACCAACAAACTCTTGGCGCACAAGCAAATCAGTGAGTCAAGTAGTCTTCCAGCATTTTCCTGTGTACCAAGCCATGCTTGGTGCCAAGAACACTGCCACCTTGACAGGGTTCCGGTGAAAGGATGCACCCCAAAACCACCTACTTGATGGATTCGGATGCCCTTTTCTTTGCCAAACATTTGATGTTTTTTGGTGTAAGCCCAAAAATGCGGCTGCAGATGTCACCACAAAATTTGGGCTTGGACCCCCCCTCCAAAAAAAACTGCCTAGATAGCCAAGTTGCTGCTTCTTTCAGTCAAGGTTGCCGGTTTTTGGGGCAACGTGGATGGAACAAAGCGATCGCACCCGTGGTCGGCTTCGGCGTCCCGTCCCTACGGCCCTACGGCTCGGGACGCCCATCGCCGCGGAGTTTTTTGGGTTCGAAGTTCGCCTCAGCGATCCCCCAGCGCAGCGACCTGAGAAACTTGGCGTTCCTCACTTCCGATGCAGTGGATGCAAGTATCTGGGTGGTTTTCCCACCAACATGGCAATCCGCAAAAGAAAACGTGGAAAGTCTAGGAACTCAAGAAGTGGCCCCGTTTCCTTGCGGCTTGCCTTTAAACTGGCAGATTGCCTTCTGGTCGCCCAAGCCAAGGTGAAACGGATTTGAATCATGGGGCAAAGTGGATTTTGTGTTGGACACCCGCGTCTTTTCGGAAAGCTACCCAACCCCGGGTTGTTGCAAAGAACGATTGCACAGAACTCGAAACCAGCCTAAACCCTGGAAGTGTTGCTACAACAAGCATAATGCGATCGCATACTCCCCTGCAGAATGCATGGGGCCCCATTTGCAAGTGGAGATTCCGCAAAACACAATCTGAAGGAGTGTGTATGACCGAATGTACCCAATGAAAAAAAGAAAGACGCCTGCTTCATTTCCCGAAAGCTCGGCCAAAGCAAGCTTCAACCACAAAGAAACCGCAACCAAATGCCCAGCTGGAGAAGAAACACACAAACCCATCACCCTAAAGGAACAGAGTTGCCTGACGATGTTGAAACTGAAACCCACCAGACACCCAAAGGGGATGTAGGGAATCCTTTGGGCCCCTCAAAATAAACGTTGTGACGTTTGTGGGCGCCCCTTTAAGCAACGACAAACAAGTGGGTCCTGACGTCAATGAATCAAGGCCAAAACAGGGGGAGCGTCCGGGCTCTGGGGTTCATCGTGAAGCTGGGGAACGAGGAACCTGCATGCCTGCTGCTTCCTCAGCATGTGTCCATAGGATGGACCGCCTCAAGTAGAGCACCCCTTCGCTGCCTTCGCTTCCTGGGTCCATGAAAGTGACCGACTCGAAATTTGCTGAGACTCCAACTTAGTGGCGTTCAACAAGGGTCTTCAACTTAGAAGATCGAAATAAGCGGAAGACTCTAACACGTCGGAAGGTCGAAGCCAGTTCTCCCCCAAGCCCCAACCCCTACCCACCAACCCAGCCCTCCGGGTTCTTGCCGGCACAACTCAATCAAACCTGGCATGCAAGCAACGTTGTCTTTGCGCCGCTCCCCTGCCAAACACGAACAACACCGCAAAAGATATACAAGAAAACGAAAGAGCATTCCAAAAACAGGAGAAGTGCCTGAAACATAGCGCTTTCCGAGTGACGCGTGTTGAACAGTGCCCACAAAGCCCATTGTTTGGTTTGGTTCTGCCAACAGTGGTTGTATGTTAAAGGTTTATCGTAATCCTTACTATGACCCCTGTCAAAACAGGTAGCAAGACTATCTAATATCGACTTCATATTAGTACAGGGCCGGTTTGGTATGCTGGCAATTAACTTTTGAACGAGGTGACTAACGGGTCTGGCTGGCCCAGAATGCATTCATTCGGGGCCATTTATTAGACTCAAGTCGACATTACGCCAAGTTGCTGCAGCATCTCTTGCGAGCTGTGCCACTGCTGCTGCCTACGTGCTTCGGCGAAGTGCTCGGCTGGGAAAAGGGGTGCCGTCAAAGCGACCCCTTCGATTTGCCCCAATGGGCGTCTCAAACTCGGGGACCCCTTTTTGGATGGGTTTAAAAGGAAAGAAAAAAAGAAGCCACCTGGGCGGGTCCCCATTTTGAGAAACACCCAATGGGGTGAAAGGAACTCGGGATGAACAAACGTGGGCTCAACACCTGGGTGTCGTTTTCTTTTTCTGCGTTGGCCACTCGTTCCTGTTGGTAGCTCGCGGAAGCCAGCAGGAACAATCAAAAAGGAGTTGATGCGTTTCCTTTCTGAGTTGGCACCCCCTTGTGGAATGACCCCTCTTCCCTTTGAGTTCCCAGCCGGAAAACCCTTGCGCCATTTGCTAGGGCTCCGATTTCCCCAAAAAAGGCGATCTGAGTGCTGCACAAAGTTGTGCGGAGCCGCGTCTTGGATTCCTGCAGCACCGCCTGTCAGTCGAGCCGATTTTGAGACAAACGACCTGGGGGGGGGGGGGGACGGGACGGCCGGTTTGAGGGGCCCTAGTAAAACCAACTGGGGGGTGCGGGGTGGGGGGTTCTGGGGTGGGGGGTGGGGGGTGGGGGGTTCTGGGGTGGGGTGGGGGGGGCTGGGGGGTGGGGGAGCCTGCCTAAAAGATGGCCACTAGGCAATCCTAAAAAAGTCCAACCTCACATCAGTCCTAAACAAACTCATCTGACTTTTGGGGCGAAAAGGTGATCAACCACCAAACGGAATGTAAGGGACCCCTGTCGAAGGATACCTGCAGCTTTCAAGGCTTGAACTCCTATTTTGGCCCCATCCACCTCACAGAAAAACACAGGCTCGCTTGCCCGAAAGACCTGGACATGGGAGGTTGACGCAATCCCGGACTAAACCCTTGTGACTAGGACCCAATTTGGATGCAAAGCCCCCGCAACCAGTGCAAACTGGACAACCAGAATACCAGGAAAATCACACATTCTACATACCAAAATACCAGGAAAACTGGAAAAAGAAAACTCAGAATACAAAAATTCTAAACACTTCATGCCCATTCTCCAACTGGAAAACCGTGTTGAACCCCAAAACGGCCAGCAGGCCGTGAGCCTGAGAGCTTAGGGTTCCGGCTATTTCTGGGCTCTCCGTGTTCTGATTACCTGCACTGTTTTAACATTTTTAGCGGGCGAACTCCCCCTCCCCCAAACCCTAAAAAACATGGAACATCTAGGGGATGGTGTCCTGATCCCCCTACAGGTGGTAGATTTGCAGTGGGTGAAAACAGACCCCCCCCCCCCCCCAAACCCTAAAAAAACCTGAACAATGTGGGGGAGATGGCTGGGAACCACTAAGATTTGTACGACTTTTCCTTCTCACATCCCTGCACCCGCCGGGGAAGAGGAAGCTTCTTTCGGGCCGCACGCCTATTTCTCCACTTGGACGATTTAGCCTGTCGATTTGGACACATGGATTCAATTCACTCAATTAGAACCATGCTGAAACTGATGCATATACATGTGTATATATATATATATAGAGGCAGTGCATGTACTCCCCTCCAGAAAATCCGCGCGGAAACTCGCAAGCCGTGTAGAGAGGAATCTCCTTCTGAGGGGCGCTGAGCCGCCGGACGTCCAGTTGCGAGCTGCCGGCGAAAAGACCTCTCGAGCCGTTTGGGGTGTCCAGGGGTGGCAGTACATACCCCTTCGCTTCCTCTGCTTTCCAACCCACTGTATAAGGGGTACCCATTTTGGGGAGAGGGGTATGAACATCAGCAGCCTTTTGGGTAAATTTGTCCAAGGGGTATGTAAAAGGGGTATGTACAAGCTTTATGGAGGGTGGGTTTTTGGAGTTAGGGTTGGTTTGGGGTTGGTTTGATTTCGGGTCGGGCGGGGGCTTAGATTGGTGGAGGGTGAGGCTTCTGTTTAAGATTGTCGCTTCTCTCAGACCTCTTGTGCCCATGCATTCTGTTGCGGGAAACGAGCCGGCTGGGTCCCTGGGGCAAGGCCACAACACCAAGCATGGAAAGTGTCAAAGGGTTACCCAATGGGTGTGGGGACCTTAAAAAGACACAGGCCCCATTGCACCTTCTGCCTGCAAATCAGGGGTTAGGCCGGTAAGCCCCCCTCCCAGCCCGGACATCAAATAAGGAGACACGTTAGGGGGGATGACTAAATGATGACTGCCGGAAGAAAAGGGCAAAACTGCCACAAGTGTAGGGGAAGAGCACGGGAAATCCCAAACAAGAAAAGGGCCGACTCGCGTTGGACAACTGAGATCCTGTGCAAAACGGAGGGCGAATCCCAAATCCTAAGCCACGGCCACGAAAGAAGACCCCTTTCGTCCCCCAAACAACTCTTGCGGATGGCCTTCGAGCTCTGCCACATTGAAATGAAACAGTTTTGCAATGGGAACCCAGGATGAACAAGACCCTTGGTTTGATAGATACATAAATATCCCATGTCAGGGGAAGCCGAATCCATCAGGTTCATCCCCCTGTGTATTTATATATCATATAGGCTTTTTGAGGTGACTAAGCCGCCAAAGGAAAAAAAAGAAAAAGAAAAAAAACAATCAAAGAACAACAACCTATTCGAAGGGTGCCACTGGACAACTGGGGAGTCCCCACCCCATTTCAGCCAAAAAGCTTTTTGATCAAGGGTGCACACCCAATGGCGATTGACTTGTCCCAAACCAACTTTAACCCTCTGCTGCTGAGTAAGAAACATTGCATTACCGAATTTGGTGCTAAGGAAGGGGTCCATCTTCTTTGTTTCCCTTTTAGTAAATTGAACAACTCATGCCCTGAGAGGCTCGGCCAAAACAAATGCAAGTTTTTTTGCTGACCACCAAAATGGCAACCAAACCCACAAACCATGCAAAGTCCAGGAACTCAGGGCGTGAGACATCACAATTTAGCCCCCAAACGGCCGAAGCCCGCCGAATCGAATCCCGCAGCCCTCCGCCTGCCGGCGGAGGCTCCGTCAGAACCGAGCGCCGCTCCTGGCTTCGGCTTCGACCGTCATGACCGTCAACCGAAGGCGCCCAGATTTGCCCAGCGCCCAAAGGACCTGGAAATGACCTGCCATCGATCGGTGCGATGGGTAAGGCCCCAATGGATTTCCATGGGGAAAAAAGAACCGGCATCCGATTTGTTTTGGTGGGTTGAGTTTAAAGGCATCGGAACCCTTCCTCAAAAAAAGTCGAACAAAGGGCGGAATCCACTGGGCAACTGGAGGTAGGAAATGAGAGAATGACCCGTAAGTCCCCTTAAAGGAAACCACCGGTTGGATGGTTTTGTTTGGGGCGGGGCCATTCCCTCATTCCCTACTGAGCAACAGCAAGATGAAAGGTTAGCCCTTTTGGAACCTTGACTACCGCCAAAAGGATAGCAGCTCTCAGGAAACCAGGGAAAGCAAACGCCAAACCTTGGCAAAAGGTTGGAGGCCAAAAGGAACAAATCAAGGGAATCGAAAGGCTAGAAGGTCGATTTTGTTTGGGCAAGCGAGCCTACCTAGCTTAGCTGGATGTTTTGGCTCACCTAGACCCATAGGACCTTGAACCCCACATCAAGATGAGCAACTCCCAAATCACAAGTCGAGATTGGGGGAAATGTTGTCACGCTTCTCCGGTTGGGAACAGACATCTGACCTCCGAAGGTCAGCACCATTCTGGTCAGAAGCAGCCGTGGACCACCAGTGGCGGACTTCAGAAGGCAGCCCCATACTACACTCTCAGAGACACCAACAAAACTGGTAGAGGCATGATCAACAAAGTTCGAGTTCTTTTGGGTTTTCCGTTGCAGCAACCCCAGGCTGGACAGCACACCTAAATATCCGCAACCCCGAAGGTCAAGCTAAGGTCCAAACAGCGCCAAATAAGGCACGCTAAAAGCCTTGAGAGTTTGGGGCATCTTGGGGGCTGCCAAATAGGAGGTCTGGAAAAAAAAATGAATGCCTGATCCCTTTCGCCTATGAAGAACTTCATTGTGGCTCAACCTGACACTCCAGGGCTCTCACGGAACTTGGGCGGACACCTCAGAGCCGACGGGTCAAGGGAGGCCGTGTTCAAGGCTGCTTGTTTACAACTGAGATGGTCCTCCCAATTAAGTATGAAACAAATATGGACTACCCAAAACCGATGCCCCAATCACATGAGGCATGGAAGGCTTACCGATGTTTACAGGTCAGAACGTTATGTTGTGCTTGGAACCCCCACCTACAACCAAACAGGAGCAACACACAAAAATATTTAAACTTTAGGTAAGGGAGCTGCTCCTATTATGGCAGTATATACTCCCTCATCGACATGTTTTATAGGCCTTCTCCCCTATAAAGGGAGCGAAGGAGCGTACTACATGCTCCTTTTGACAGTCTCCACACCTTCAGCCCTACACCTACACCTAATTACACCTCAGCATGCTTTCAAAACAGTGATTGTTCTCTTCTCCAAGCTTCTCTCCCTTTTTTCCTTTTCGTGTTTGGGGGAAGATTTCATCCTCACCCCTACTGGGGAGTCATGAGGTCAAGCTGTTGCAATTATCCACGTCCTTCTTTCCAAGGAAGCCATTGGCTCCAGATAACAAAGTTCGACCGAAGGACACTTCTTGGGCATATCACACTAAGATATTTTACATCGAGCTGCCAAAAACGGGATGCTTTTAGGGTGTTGACAGTTTTTATAACCTCCATATAATCTCCCACACATCTGTACACACATACAAATGTATATATATATATATATATACATATAGATATACATATATGTGTGATACCGACACCTTTAAGCATCCAGCCAAAAGGAGTCCTGATACGTGCCGCATCTCAACCTGCACCCTTTTCGCCACAAAAGGCTCCCTGTTGCACGGCGCTCGCGTGGCTGTGGACACTTCCACGCGCTCTGCACGGATGCACGTACGCATCATGGCAGCCCGCAGGCTCCGCTCCTTGTAATATCCCCAAGGCTTTGAAGGCGATGTCCCCAGTCATTTTCGGCTGGGGCGGGGATGCTGTACTTTTCTTGTTGTGGTCTCCGTCTGCGCCGCAGCCTTGCCGCACGGCTGTGGGACTAAGTGCAGCACATTTTGAAGAACATACAAAAGAAGAACGCGACCACAACCAGGCTTGGGATCACTTCTGGAGTCCTACTTTGGACGAACGGGCGAGAATTGGCTATTTAACAGCAGGTGTGTCTTTGAGGCTAATTGGACAGAGAGTGACGCCTCGACATCATGAACGCCGGAGGGGCCTCTAGTCGCACCCGGACTCGTTGCACCAATCAAGGTTGGATGGCGTTTGCATTCGCCTAGGTGTTGCAACAGGGTAGCAACAACTGGCTGGTGCTCAGCAGGGAATGGCCCCTATAAACCATCCCTTCTGCGTTCCTTTCGGGACTCCCCAGGTGTATTCCCTCCTTCCCTATCGCAACAAGTCAGCCAGCTCCTTCTCTTTGCTCTTGGCTCTTGGCGCGTTTTGCTCGCAAGCGGACCGCAAAATTGGCCCCACTTCTTGGAGACGAAGGTGGCGCACGCGTGGCATGCGAAGCTCCCAAACATAGGTCACCGCTGGGTCAACCAATCAAAGCTGGCCGTACACCTGCGGAAAATCAAGGGACCTTTCAAGTGCGGAAACCCTCGTTCAAAGGGACCCTGTGTTTTCGTATGAATCAAGCGTCAATAGATTCCTGGAAACAACAACGCCTCCACGTGCTGTGTTGGAGGCGTCTGACATGGTCTTCGACCCCTTCAAAAACGTGAAGTTGCCGGTTCTTCAAACACAGTCGTGAAGTACCAGTTGCAATCAGCGACCCGTTCCGCCCACTTGGGGTAGGAAAAGCACATGTTTACTGGGCCCGCCCACGCCCAACACAAAGGTGGGTTCAAAGGGCGGAAGCCAACCAAACCATTAGACCGTCAATTCCGGGCCATCTTTGCTGATGCTTAGTATAAGTATGCGTCAAGGCAGGGGCAACTATCCCTACGAATGGTGGCTTTTGTTTTTGGCTTCCCTTTAAAACCATCCACCTACCCCGCAAAAACGTCAAACGAGACCCCAGGCCCTCCGGCTTCCGGAGGATGCAGCGATGCTGGGCCGCCGCTCCGCCTGGCAAGGCGACCGCCGATTTTCCAGGGGTTCTACATTGCCCCTTAAAACATCCCACAAAAAGGGACACTCACCTTTCACGGGCCAAAACGGTGATGTTTACAAACCCCCAAGAAGGGGAATCTTGGGATCCCTGTTTGAAGAGAAGGATCCCTGAAGAGAATGCCGATCCCCGCTATGCAACCATTTCGCAGCCGTCCTTTGCCAAACGGGCACCCAACTGCGTTTTCCCCATGTCCAACATCTCAAGCACGGTGACCGAAAAGCAGTGCTTGGGGCCGGCTGGTAGCAAACTCTTTCTACAGTCGAACTTGTGGAAAGCATAGTGCTGCCTTCTTGTCATGAATTAAATGGCCCAGACACCTCTCCTAAAGGTGGTCTGGCATGGTTTGGCATCCCACCGAGAACAAACGAGAAAGGCCCTGACGAACGGGTCCCCGGGTGGTGCCAAACAGTTACAAGCAATGCATCCTGTCTTGAGCGCACTGGACATTGTAGAATTTGCAGACCCGTGGCAGTGGACGTGGGAAAACAAGACACGCTAAATTTCGAGAGCGAGAGTACGTTTAGCTTGAGGAGACTGCGCCCATTTACCATCGAAAAGTGGCAAAAGGATTTCAACCCAGCTCAAATATTGACCCGCAGAAGGCGAAACCCGACGAGAACAAAACTTGCAAACAAACCAGCAGGCAAGCGAGCGAGCAAGCAAACAAGCAAACAAACGAACGAACAAGCACGACATGCTCACTAAGGAAGAACAGGCGGCAGAAGCCGGATTTTCCGGGGCACGCCAGCGCCAGCTGCGATGTCAGCTGCCTGCGTGACGGCAGGCACGTTCTCTACTTGGTTTCGTCTTGGAGTTGGTAGAAAAAGGGTAAACTATGGTAAAAGGAATAAGCGTTTTGGGAAACCCATCAATCAAAAAGGACAAGGAACAAAAAGGGCGCCACTGAATATCTCGGAGAAGTATTTGAGATCCGCTTTAAAAGGTTTGTGTTTTCTTGAGGGTACACCTTTTAGGTCGGTTTCAAGGGACACAATAATGCCCCAAAGACAGCACTGCTCTGCAGAGAGGGGCAGTTTTTAGTTGGAATCGCTCACCACGGTGAGCTTCGAATCAAGGTATGTCACCTCGGTGAGCCTTGAGTTGGTGTTGTGTTCGCTTCTGGTTGAGACCCGTCTGGCAGTCCCGGTGCTGGTCTGGAAAATTCCGTTTATGCCCTTGGAGTCTCTCCTTTACTCACTTGCCCAGTTTGGGCCCAGAACTCAAAGGCGAGGTGCCATGACGAAAAAATGGGAACCCGAAAGGTCAAAGGTGGGCTTTGACCTTTAGCCCCTTGAAGAATATTAAAGACGCATTAAGTACTCGATTTGCCCTGGAGGTGATGGGGGTGGCGGAAAAGCCATTACTTAAATGTAAGAAGTTGGTGGTTTCCATGGCAAGTGGGACAATAGGGGGTCTGGTTCCGAGTTCTTCAATGGATTGTTCTAGTTCCTAAATGGGTCAAATTTCAAGTAAGAGAGTTTGGGCTCCGAGGCCAGCCAAACATTCTTGGGTTGGTGATGGCAGCGGACCCCCTTTCAGAACGACGCGAACCTTCCGGAACCGGATCAAAGCCGGAGGCCCTGGCGTGTTGGGTTCTCAAAGGTACCTGGATGGTTTTTCTTACTTACTTGGTGGTTTGGAGCCGAGTCGGTGGAGGTGCTGCGGCTCTCATTTATGATTACCCTCTACAAGGGGCAGGAGTTCTCTCTCTCTCTCTCTCCCCCGTTGCGTCCAGAGGGTCTTGACTCAGCAAGGCAACGAAAAAGGTGCCCACCGATGTTCAGGGGAACCAACAACATACTAGGGCAGGAGTTAAAATCTGCAATTAAGGGTTCCCTGATGGATGGAAATTATTTTGAAGGGCGTACATGTTGAGGGACGAGCCCGCGGTCTCAAAGGTGAACCCGTTTTGGGCTACCCTGCAGTCACGCCGGGAGGTCTAGGAGCCAGAAAGGCAATCCTCTGGGGTAAGGTAGAAGGCTTTGGGCCAAGCCCTTCAAGCTTGCACGGACCCTATTCCCTAGACATTTCTACAGGTTGCAGTAGCCCCAGCATGCTTTTCAGGGATAGCGTCATGGCGGCTCGCTATAAGCACTGCAGATTGAAGTTGGGCGGACTTGGGCAAATGAGCAGCACCCAACACCCATTGATTTGTGGATTTACCAGCATGGCTATCGAGTTTAGGGCGCTTTAAAGCTCCCCCCCCCCCAGCGCATGAAAGTTGAGACTGATGAAACCCTACAAATACTGGTGCAGCATCTTGTCCATCCACAGTACCAAAACAGCCCAAATACATAACTGGATGCCCAACCCTGTGCAGCAAGTTTGCCTTCTTGGCGTTTAGAGTCAAGGAAATGTTCAAGTCTAAAGATCCGGCCAACTAGCAGCGAAGATAAGCTTGGTTGCTGTAGCGACCCCTGCAAGAAGTGTTTTTGTTCTTGCCGGTCCAACCCAGAAAATCACACCCGTTTCAACCAACGAAATGTCCAATCCAGACATCCAGCCAAATAGCCACGAGGTCAACAGGGTGAAATGAAAAAACTCCACTAAAAACAACTAAAAACAACTAAATACAACTACATACAACTCAATACAACTACATACAATTAAAAACAACTAAATACAACTAAATACAACTTAAAACAACTAAATGCAACTAAAAACAACTAAATACAACTACATACAACTAAAAACAACTTAAAACAACTAAATACAACTAAAACCAACTGAAAACAACTACATACAACTAAAAACAACTACATACAATTAAAAACAACTAAATACAACTAAAAACAACTTAAAACAACTAAAAACAACTAAATGCAACTAAAAACAACTACATACAACTAAATACAACTAAAAACAACTGAGCGCAACTACATACAACTAAAAACAACTACATACAATTAAAAACAACTAAATACAACTAAAAACAACTTAAAACAACTAAATGCAACTAAAAACAACTAAATACAACTACATACAACTAAATACAACTAAAAACAACTGAAAACAACTACATACAACTAAAAACAACTACATACAATTAAAAACAACTAAATACAACTAAAAACAACTTGAAACAACTAAATGCAACTAAAAACAACTAAATACAACTACATACAACTAAAAACAACCAAAAACAACTCAAAACAACTCAAAACGCCCAAGGAACCAGACGATTCGCTAGGTCTCTTCCATCGGAGCCGCCGCCTGGGGCTCGGCGGGCTGTCCAAGACCTGGCACGACCGGAACGCCGGAGCCGGTGCTGCATGGACTGACGAGAACTTCGATTATTTTCTCCATTTTCTGTGGGGTTCCGTTTTTCCCGGAAGCATTGCGAAGGGTTCTTCTTCTAAAAGCGGCTGCCAACTTCACCTGCCAACTTCTCATGCCAACTTGTCGAGAGTTACTTCACCTGCCAACTTCTCATGCCAACTTGTCGAGAGTTACTTCACCTGCCAACTTCTCATGCCAACTTGTCGAGAGTTACTTCACCTGCCAACTTCTCATGCCAACTTGTCGAGAGTTACTTCACCTGCCAACTTCTCATGCCAACTTGTCGAGAGTTACTTCACCTGCCAACTTCTCATGCCAACTTGTCGAGAGTTACTTCACCTGCCTACTTCTCATGTCAACTTTTTGAGAGTTACTTCACCTGCCAACTTCTCATGTCAACTTTTCGGCTGTTATCTCATTCTACTAAAAGCACAAGCTAATTTGTCGGGTGTTACTTCACTATCCTAAAAACACAAGCTAACTTTTCTGTTCTACCTTCACTTCTCGACTCTTAATTCTTCTTCTTTTTCTGGCGGGGGTAGGCCCGACAGGAGCTTACGAAACGCACCCCTCTGCGGAGATCGTGCGTGTCGAAGCGCTCTCGCTGTGGCGCCGTGCGAATTTGTCTTGAGCGCGGCGAACCCTCTGCGGAGATCGTGCGTGTCGAAGCGCTCTCGCTGTGGCGCCGTGCGAATTTGTCTTGACCGGCGAACCCTCTGCGGAGATCGTGCGTGTCGAAGCGCTCTCGCTGTGGCGCCGTGCGAATTTGTCTTGACCGGCGAACCCTCTGCGGAGATCGTGCGTGTCGAAGCGCTCTCGCTGTGGCGCCGTGCGAATTTGTCTTGAGCCGGCGAACCCTCTGCGGAGATCGTGCGTGTCGAAGCGCTCTCGCTGTGGCGCCGTGCGAATTTGTCTTGGTCGCGGCGAACCCTCTGCGGAGATCGTGCGTGTCGAAGCGCTCTCGCTGTGGCGCCGTGCGAATTTGTCTTGACCTTGGCGAACCCTCTGCGGAGATCCTGCGCGTCGAAGCGCTCTCGCTGTGGCGCCGTGCGAATTTGTCTTGGTCGCGGCGAGCCCTCTGCGGAGATCGTGCGTGTCCAAGCGCTCTCGCTGTGGCCCCGTGCGAATCTGTCTTGACCTTGGCGCACCCTCTGCGGGGATCGTGCGTGTCGAAGCGCTCTCGCTGTGGTCCCGTGCGAATTGTCTTGACCTTGGCGCACCCTCTGCGGGGATCCTGCGTGTCGGATCGCTCTCGCTGTGGTCCCGTGCGAATCTGTCTTGACCTTGGCGCACCCTCTGCGGGGATCGCGCGTGTCGGATTGCCCTCGCCGTGGTTCCGTGCGAAGCTGTCGTGAGCCCGATGAACCCTCTGCGGGGATCGCGCGTGTCGGATCGCTCTCGCTGTGGTCCCGGGCGAATCTGCCTTGACCTTGGCAGACCCTCTGCGGGGATCGTGCGTGTCGAAACCGCTCGCTGTGGCGCCGTGCGAATTCTCTTGCTGTCGCTACTCGCAAATAGCCTTTGAAAGTTGTCTCATGGTTTGCGCGCCTGCTTTCGCAATCGCGGCGTCGCAGGTTCGATCCCCCCTGGTCCGCGCCAGCTCCGGCGCGAAAATCGTAAGTTTGAAGTACAAAAGTAGTGCGCGGAGAGCGTCTCCCCAGCTCCGCCGGAAAAAGAAGAAAGAACTCAGAATCGAGAAGAGAAGGTAGAAAAGGAAAAGTCGGCTTGCAATTTTTTGCATAGTGAAGTAACGCCTGAAAAAAATACTTGCGCTTTCCGATGCCGAAGAAACGCCCGAGAAGTTAGCTTGCGCTTTAGGATAGTGAAGTAACACTCGAAAATTTGGCTTGTGTTTTGGGACAGTGCATTTGGCTTGTGAAGTGAGATTGGGCAGTTGGCAGTTGTCATTGGCTTGTGAAGTGAGATTGGGCAGTTGGCTTTTGTAATTGGCTTGTAAAATAAACATGCGCAGTTGGATTTTGGAGTGATAGGCAGCTGACAAGAGCAATAGTAGCCGAAGCTTGGATGTCATGAGTGTCTCAGTAGCGGAGCTTGCCCAGAGAATGTTTGCGGCGACAGTTGATTAGGGCGACACGGCTTCTTTGTGTTGGTGTTATGCTTCATTTTTTGGAGGGGTGCTCCATGAGGTTGCTGTCGCTTGTCATTGCTGCTTGCACGTGCATTCATGCTCAAGGCAGTCCTCCGTGTTAGTACTGTAGAAGGTGTCATCGCTCAGATCGCATCTTCCGAAGTGCGGATTCGTTTCCTTGGCGCACCAATCTTGTCAAAGCAGTTACACACAGCGGGTGGCCAGAAGATATCAGAGTCGCGCGGCGCTGGCGGGTATTTCCGACGTGTCGTGTTGCCATGTCGCATTCTGGTCGCCAGCGACGTGCGCAGGCTGGACGTTGGCATGCGAGAGCGCACGATTGTTTCGCATACCCCTCTTGGTTTCTTGGAATTACCACTTTTGGCTTGCGCTGTTGGTTTCCACCGTGTGTCTTTCAGCGCGCGCAGCAGGCTGCGAATCCCTTGGATGCTCTTCCTGATGCTGAGCATTTACGGGCTGAAGCAGCAGTACATGGTCAAGACTGGCTCCATGCTGAGCTGGATGGCTCGATGAAGCTGGACAAGCTTCGTGCCTTCGCAGCTGGCCTCGGCGTGCAGCAGAGGGATCCCGCATCTGGTAGTCGGCTTTCCAAGAGCCAGCTGCTTGAAGCCGTGGTTGCAGCTCTACGTTCGCGACCTGACACAGAGGCATGGTTTCGCAGTTACAAGTAGACCCCACAAGTTTAGTTTTATTGCTTAGCTCTTTTTTGGCACCCTCAATGCTCAGCTCGTTCACGACAAGCCTTTAGATACCGGAGCGTGTCTTTCAGCGCGCGTAGCGGACAGAGGAGGGCTTGCTCGAAAGATTGCTTTGGTCAACAGTGTTTCCCTGAATGTAAGAAGCTGGTCGCCTTGCTCTTTGTGCGTGTGTAAGAACTATGTTGTAAGAGCGCAGGCAACTTCGTCTTCCACAGCTGCTGCGAGTTCTGGGGATGGCCTTCCTGACGCAGAGCGTCTGCGAGCCGAAGCAGCTCTACGGGGGTCTGACTGGCTCCGGGCCGAGCTGGACGGCTCCATGGCGGCGGAGAGGCTTCGCTCCTTTGGAGCCGACCTTGGCGTGCAGAAGAGGGACCCCGCTTCTGGCCAGCAGCGCACCAAGGGCCAGCTGCTTGATGCCTTGGTCAACTTTTTGTGTCCTCCTTCCAGCGCAGAGGCATGGTTTTCCAAAAGCACTTGTTTCTTGTCAACAGTGTTCGCACGAACAGAGGATTGCTCGAAAGAATGTTTTTGTCAACAGTGTTTCCCTGAATGTAAGAAGCTGGTCGCCTTGCTCTTTGTGCGTGTGTAAGAACTATGTTGTAAGAGCGCAGGCAACTTCGTCTTCCACAGCTGCTGCGAGTTCTGGGGATGGCCTTCCTGACGCAGAGCATTTACGGGCTGAAGCAGTTGCGCGTGGCGAGGAATGGCTGCGGTCCGAGCTGGAAAGCTCAATGCCGCGGGGCCAGCTTCGCTCCTTTGCAGCTGGCTTGGATGTTCCCCTGAGGGATCCCACCACTGGACAGCAGCGCGCCAAGGGTCAGCTGCTTGATGCTTTGGTGGCAGCTTTGTGCCCTTCCGCCATCGCAGAGGCATGGTGTCGCTTTTGGAAATATACCGCCGAATTGTGGGGATGTTTGAACTGTGTGTAGATGGCTTGTTTATTTCCATGGTGTTGCGTACCTTCCCGACCTGACGCAGAGGCCTGGTTTCGCAGCTACAAGTAGACCCCACAAGTTTGGTTTTATTGCTTAGCTCTTTTGGCACCCTCAATGCGCAACTTGTTCACGACAAGCCTTGAGATACCGGAGCGTGTCTTTCAGCGCGCGTAGCGGACAGAGGAGGGCTTGCTCGAAAGAATGTTTTTGTCAACAGTGTTTCCCTGAATGTAAGAGGCTGGTCGCCTTACTCTTTTGTGCGTGTTCAAGAACTATGTGATAAGAGCGCAGGCCACTTCGTCTTCGACAGCTGTAGCGAGTTCTGGGCATGGTCTTCCCGATGCACAGCACTTGCGAGCCGAAGCAGAAGCACGAGGTTCTGACTGGCTCCGGGCCGAGCTGGATGGCTCCATGACGGCGGCAAGGCTTCGCTCCTTTGGAGCCGCCTAGGCGTTTCGCAGAGGGACCCCACGTCTGGCCAGCAGCGCACCAAGGGCCAGCTGCTTGCTGTCTTGGTCGAATCTTTGTGTCCTCCTTCCAGCGCAGAGGCATGGTTTTCCAAAGCACTTGTTTCTTGTCAACAGTGTTCGCACGAACAGAGGATTGCTCGAAAGAATGTTTTTGTCAACAGTGTTTCCCTGAATGTAAGAAGCTGGTCGCCTTGCTCTTTGTGCGTGTGTAAGAACTATGTTGTAAGAGCGCAGGCAACTTCGTCTTCCACAGCTGCTGCGAGTTCTGGGGATGGCCTTCCTGACGCAGAGCATTTACGGGCTGAAGCAGTTGCGCGTGGCGAGGAATGGCTGCGGTCCGAGCTGGAAAGCTCAATGCCGCGGGGCCAGCTTCGCTCCTTTGCAGCTGGCTTGGATGTTCCCCAGAGGGATCCCACCACTGGACAGCAGCGCGCCAAGGGTCAGCTGCTTGATGCTTTGGTGGCAGCTTTGCGCCCTTCCGCCATCGCAGAGGCATGGTGTCGCTTTTGGAAATATACCGCCGAATTGTGGGGATGTTTGAACTGTGTGTAGATGGCTTGTTTATTTCCATGGTGTTGCGTACCTTCCCGACCTGACGCAGAGGCCTGGTTTCGCAGCTACAAGTAGACCCCACAAGTTTGGTTTTATTGCTTAGCTCTTTTGGCACCCTCAATGCGCAACTTGTTCACGACAAGCCTTGAGATACCGGAGCGTGTCTTTCAGCGCGCGTAGCGGACAGAGGAGGGC